CTCAAAACTAAGTACATCATTTAAATTAATTGCATTGAAATTGGATTTTATCACTCTTTGACATAATTAAAAAGGGAAGTAAAAAAAAAAACTTATTTTGTACATTTTTAAAACAACCAAAAACCGTCCGATGAAAGGGTATACTTAATAAGTAAATCAAAATGTAGGGGAACAACGCTTCTTTGCAGAGTTTCTTCTAGGCATCTCTTGGGGGGGGGGGGGGGGGGGGGGGGCTGAACCCCCTCCGAAGAAAGTCTACCGCCCCTCCCCGAACGAGATGGAATTTATAACAAGGTTTTTTCGTAGACAAGGGCTATATTATTTTAAAGGACTCTAATAAGGGTTTATTTCCAAGCTGACTGCAAAGTGTAAATACATCTGCACTCGTATACTGATCATTAATATATATGGACATTGCTACAACTGTAGTAAAGATCTCGCTTACCCCCCCCCCCCCCCCCCATTCCAGGTAAGTGTGCTAGTTAAAATTGAAATGAAAGAACACACTAAAAAATCGCTTTTTTGGTAATGTAAAGTATTTCAAGCTACACATCATGTACTATTAAATTACTATTTAGTTTAAAATAATCGCTAAAACCCAAACCATTCATGAACTTGGTGGGGATTTCTACTTTAAACTATACCCATTTATTGTTGACACTGGCGACGAAATGTACGATCACGTGACCTTTTATATTTACAGATAAAAATATTAGCTACGAGCCGACCCGCGGCATATCATACGCCGCTATTTAGTTGTTTTATTTTCTACTTTTCAGTAATTCATAATTTGTGAATTCGACAGTACCAATGCTGCCACTGAATATATTTATAGGTCGTTAAGAACGATATACTACCCCCACCCTCCTTTCCCCCAACCACTACCCTACACCCCCTCCCCCCGTGAAAGCAGCCTCCTCTTAGTTACCTCCCCTAAGTTTAAAATAGTTTCAAACTAAATTATCTGCCCCTAATAGCCGTCACTACGATTGTAAACACTTAGCGTGAACCACAGCTCACCAGACCATGTAGGGGTGGGGTGGTAGGGAGCGCGCTTACAGCTTGTTTTCTAGCGTCTCCAAGAAGATAATTATATATATAAATTCTAAAAGATTAGGAAAAATATGTTGTAATTAATTTTCAAAGTACCCTCTGTCGGAAAAGACAAAAATATTTGAACTAAGCAACCAGAATAAAAATAATACAAAGTGAAGCTAAAAAATTACGTGGAAGAATTACTGAAGAAATAAACTATAAAAACTATACTCACAAACTTCTTTATTAAGTAGCTAAATGTTTTTATTTCTTTTACAGAACTATCAAGCTTCTAAAACTTGCAAACATCAATTTAGAACAGCTTGAATTTCTTAGTTTTTTTTACATTTAAAGTATTTAGTCTATTATGCATTTTTTTTGTTAAGTATCCCACTAAAGGCTGCACATTTTACATGTAGGCTATGGGCTATTTGTAAAGAATTACTTTGAACGGTCAAAAAAGGCCAGCGAGTTGAATGAGAGAGGGGTCCAAATCCGTTACTCGACTGCGCCGTTGAAAAATCATATCGGTGATAGTTTTCAATCGGTAAATCAGATATATTGTGTATTATCAACAACTATAAAAACTACGCATAACTAGAGGGATTAAAACCTACTTTTTAATGGTACAAAGCATATTACTATACAAGACCTTTTTATTATAGAAACTATGAAGTGAAAAGCTACTATATTTGGGCGACGCGGGCGGCGAAAACGGCGTTTTTTTTATTTTTTTTTTAAATGGCCGTTTGACATACCTACAAAGAATGCAACACGTCTGTAACAATTGGCAGAGTCGGCAGGATAGAAAACAAGACAAAATACAAGGAATAATGACACAATTATATATATATATATATATATATATATATATATATATATATATATATATATATATCTATAATATAAGCGGGCTGAGCGTGTCCTTCCGTCCGTCATCGCTATAGATTTTGGGACTATAAAAGTAAGCTACGCACCACGCTGTGCTTTTCAGTGCACCGCAGTGTCTTATTATAAGTATTAGAGTAGGGTTTGTTTATATAGCGGCATAGAGCTAATTTATAATTTCCACTGTTTGTACAATTTTGCATAACGTAAAGAGAATATTAAATACACGCACATTGCTAAAACATATTAAAAGGATCAATGTCAAATATAGTTTTCGTTAATATTCCCAGAAAAAAATGGATATATTATCATGAAATTAGGTCGAAAAAACTAATTAATTCAACTTTTTTTTGGTATTTTTTTTGCAAGGGAGGTAATTTGAAAATATATTTAACTCATCAATATCTAAGTTAATTTAAATCTTTTTGCTTTTGTTTTTCGGTGTTATGAAAACAGATGGTGAAATTAGACTTTTTGAGAAGAATGGAACGGCTCTCTCTGAGCGCGGACGTATGGGAAAATGTTTTTTTTTTAATATTCAACTCACTCTCAATAATTTAAGTTAATTTTTTTTATTAATTCCACATTGATTATTATATGTTAAGGTTCATAAGTAAAATAGAAAAATGTTAAGATTATTTATATTATTTTCTAATTAGTCTATGATTTATCAATATCACTATTTTTTGTTTTTGTTTTTCGGTGTTAACAGATGGTGAAATTTTAGAATTATAGTATAGAGAATGCTGAAAAGGCTCTCTCTCTGGGCGCGGACGCCTGTGAAAAGCGTGTTTTTCGGTGGTGATTCTAATTACATTACCAATGTGTTTTCTTAGAACCATAAAAGTAAACACCACTTGCCGTACATTTATTTGCATCGCATTGTTTTATTGTAAGTTATGGAGTAGAATCTATTTATGTGACCTAAATAAAGGCTCTCTTTGGGCGCGGACGCCTAAATAAGCGTGTTGTTTGGTGGTGATTCTAATGTTGTGGCTGTGGTTGTGTTGTGGTTGTGTTGTGGTTGTGTTGTGTTGTGGTTGTGGTTGTGTTTTGTTTGTGTTGTGGTTGCGATGTGGTTGTGTTGTGGTTGTGTTGTGGTTGTGTTGTGGTTGTGTTGTGGTTGTGTTGTGGTTGTGTTGTTGTTGTGTTGTGGTTGTGTTGTGGTTGTGTTTTGTTTGTGTTGTGGTTGCGTTGTGGTTGTGTTGTGGTTGCGATGTGGTTGTGTTGTGGTTGTGGTTGTGTTGTGTTTGTTTTTGTGCTGTGTTTTTGTTTTTGTTCTGTTCCAAAGTTGTACATTTAAAAAGATTTACCGTGGCGGAGCACGGGATGCAGCTAGTCTATAATATAAGCGGCTAGGTAGTGTGTCAGTCCTTCCGTCATCGCTATAGATTTTGGAACCATAAAAGTAAGCATCGCACCATGCTGGGCTTTTCAGTGCACCGCAGTGTCTTATTATAAGTAATAGAGTAGGGTTTGTTTATATAACGGCATAGAGCTATTTTATATTTACAACTGTGTTTTCTCTTTTGCATAACGTAAAGAAAATATTAAATACACGCACATTGCTAAAACATAACAAAAGGATTAATGTTAAATATGCTTTTCCTTTATATTCCCAGAAAAAGTGGATACATTTCAATAACATAATAACAGGAGGGTAGAAAAATCAAATTAATTTAACTCTTTTTTCTAATTTTGACTAAGGAGGTAATTTAAAAATACATTAAACTCACGCTAATAAAAAATGTGAATGCAAACATACGTTCTTCTGTTGCAATATTATAATTAGCAAAATGCGAATGCAAATTATTCGGATGTGTAAGAGGAAATTATTGTTAGAAAATTATAATTAGCATGGCTTGATAAAAGGCAATCTTTTATTTATTTTATTCACTAAATGTAGGCCCTACTGTTTATTACTTTTAATTTTTAATCAACTATTCAGCACTATTATAGACGCGTCAATCGTCATCACGTTCATTAGGTGCGCAATGGTTTTCGTTATGAAACTCTATTGTAAATTTTTAAAATTTAAAGTATTGGAAAAACAAATGCGTGAATGGATAAAAAAGTGAAATATTGTAGGTAAAACACGGATATTTTAAGTACTGCCTATTATTTATACTGTTTACTAATTATTATTCTATCTTTCGGTTTGCGGACAAGCTAGGGGTTTTATAGGAGAGGCGTAGCGAGGGGGGCATATGTCCCCGGGTGCCGACCTTAGCGGGCGCCAAAGTGGGGTGGACAAAATTTGCGAGGGGGAGGGGTGTGGAAATCGAAAGTTTTAGGGCGGGAGGGGGGGGGTGGACAGGGGTGCAAATCAAAAGTTTGAGCTGGGTGCAAATCACCGGAAAGGGCGCGATTTGGCGCTACGGGCTAGACTGTGAGCAATATGCCTTTATGATTGCATTTAAATTGTGTTTATGTTATGAGTGTTTTTTTTTTTTTTTTTTTTTGCGTTCGTTTGTGTTGTGTTTAGTTTTGTTCTGTTCCCAAGTTGGAACATTTAAAAAAAGATTTACCGTGGCGGAGCACGGGATGCAGCTAGTATATATATATAAACATAATATATATTTGCAAATACACACATACATAGAGTCTTTTAAAAAAATAGGGCTGGAAAAGTTGGTGTACATTAATATGGCAAGCGAGGTCCTCAAAAGCTTTCAACAGCACGCAGCATGTATTTATTTTAAGTTCAATCTGCCTTTTGATTATAAAAATCGTATATTTAAATAGCAGAAATGCACCGAATCCCCAAATTACAAGGCTCTCCAACATAATTACAATGTAGTGAGGAACGACAAAAACATATGCTACAGAAACATTGGAATTTTATAATTAATTTAAAATAAGATTTAAAATTCTACAAATGCAACGCTTTATAATCAACACGATTTATGCCAAACTATGCACTTAATATTAAAAATATAGTAATAAAATAAACAATTAAAAATATAGTAATAAAATAAACAATTCAAGTACACTGTCTTCAGCACTATAGAAACCCTGCCCTTATACGATTTCTTTCTTCGTTTTCCGTAGTTTAGTATACCCATCCCATGTATTGATTGTGTAAACATTATTGTTTACCATTTTCTACCTTACATTACATTACAATGGCCACTCCTTCTAGGCTGAGGCCGAATGAATTTCAAGCAGGGACAGCTGTAATTCCTTCGACCAAAGTAGAAATAAGCGTATCTTGCAGGTCAGTCTAGCTAGACTCCAGGCCAGATGTAAACTTAAATTAATTTTAAAATAATAAAATTAGGCCTAGGCTAGGCCTATAATTTTTAGATTGTAGGAAAAAAAGTCACAGGAAAAAAAAACACAGGAAAAAAAACCAGAAAAAAGTCACAGGAAAAAAAGTCACAGGAAAAAAGTCACAAATATAGTCTATAGATCTAGGCCCTATTTAATATTTGCATGGAATTTGTTAGGCCCTAATAGTTATAATTAATAGTATAGGCCTACTTTTATTTTTATGAATTATAGATTCAGAGAGTGCAAATTAACTTAGCTTTAAAATTAAAAATAAATAAATCATAATAAATGTAATGTGTGTGTGTAAGCTGGGTAAAATCACGATATAGCATCGGAAATTATTGGGTAATGTTTGTTGAATTTCGGTAACATTCGTTACTGTAAAGTAGTAAACCATAATTTATTTGACCCTTGAAATAGAAATAAAGTCAAGTGCATTAAATTAATGTTTTAACTTAATTTAATGTTTAATTGAAAGAAAATTAGCAACAATTGGTAAATCTAAATATTATTAATAAAGTCGAGTGTAGTAATTAGTGTATTTTTAAGAAACACAGAAAAGAAACTTGCAGAAGATTTGCGACAACTAGCTCTAGTTCTGTTAGTAAAATAAGACGATTCAATTTACTAAAGTTAAAAGTAGTAAGATGAACGAGAACAATGTTTAGTAGCAGCATTCAGCAATAATTAGCATATACACTTAAAATAATTATAAATACAAAATCGTTAGCAAAACAGTATTTAAAATGCAACTAAAATCAATCCTTGCACATTTTTAAACATTATGTATTAAAAATAATATGGCAGCAAATAAATAATGGTTTACAGTATTTCCGGTTGTTTCTGGAACGGCTCAACAGACTACACTATGATTTTACGCTATGATTTTTACTGTTCTACAGTTTCGGAATAATAACTGACGCTATATCGTGATTTTACCTTAGGTTGTATACTAATGTATACGCATGGTAATTTTTATAATTCATCTAAAAATATTTAGTATGAAGTATGTAGATTGTAATTATGTTAAACATAATATTATAGCATTTAATAGAATGTTCCAACGTCCTTGATTTTCATGGTGTTTTTTTAAAATACTAATATAATAATATTAATTTAAATTACTGTGAAATGCTAAGTTCATCTGACTTGCTGCCCTCAACTCAGCGCAACAATAGTTATGATTAGTTCAACCACCTTAACTGCCCACATTTATCACGCTCATTACATAACAAAGCATAGGATCAAAACAGAAAGCCGACAAAGTTCAAAGGCTGTCATTGACACAAAATGTCAACAACACACAATATGTTTGGGCAAGGCCGACTGAGGAGATAGCATTTTATCTGAAATGTATAGGACATGAAAATACATAAAAAATATAAAATGACTGAAGTGTTAGTCTCATAAATGTTCAAAACGCAAGAACTAGTTTTCAAAAAGGAGAGGGGGGTCTCCAGTATGGTAATGCAAAAATTATGTTTTTAGTGTATCATCAACACATTTGTACGGTTAACATTCCTTTGCTGGCTTTTGTCCAGCATAAATCTGACATCTTAAAAGTGCCAATGCCTTTCTGTGATGTAGTGAAAGAGGCCATAGCTTGGTAATCACCAGTAATACTGCATTGTTGGCATGCACACTATGATTAACTTTGCTCTGCAATGACCACCGTCGTTTAAATAAGCATTTGTCAGGTGATCACCTGAGTGTGACTGAAATATAACTATGGACTTAAATTGATAGTTGTATTGTCCCTGGAGGGCGGACATCTCCCTTAGGGCATGTCTCCGCCAACAAAGCGAGCGGCCACCTTGCAACGTAGGTGTATTTACATAGCCCCTCCTTCCATAGATGAACTAACCCTTTGATCTGAATTTGTAAACCTGATGTAGTAAGATTGTCTCATGTTCAGCAAGCCCACTTATTCTGCCTATAGAAACTTATTTTTAATCTTATGAATATTATATTTCTAACTCCAATTTTAATAAGTTTGATGTTGTGACAAACCTATGTGACAAACCTTTTTACAGTTATTTTGTGTAAGAAAAAAGTATTAAAAAAAACCAAATGACAATCAAGTTTTAAAAAATGTTAAAATCGCTTTAAAATCATTTTAGAGATCATTTGTCCATTGTATCATTTGTTCTGGTATCTTTTGTCCATGAAATCATTTGTCATGAAATCTTCTGTCCTGAGATCATTAGTCTGTAAGATATTTTGTCTGAGGTCATTTGTCCTGAGATCAATTATCATGGAGCTGCTAGAACACACTGTATTGAAACTTGTTACTTTATCTAAGAATCATAATGTAGGCCTACTTTATTTTTTATCTTTTAATGTTCATTTAATATTTTAAACATAATTTAATTTTATATCAGTCCAAAATTTTCCACTGATAATGAGGCCTATATATTTTCTTGATATTTTCACAAAAAAGTATTGGTAAAAGTTGCCATTCTATAAAAAGAAATCTAGGATACATCTCCCGACCCCGGTTTCTCTTCTGTAATGCTAATCATGCATGCTTGAGAAGGCTTACAAGCTTAAATAAACTCATATTGACTTCAAGTACACTTTTCTTATTGCTTGGTTGGGGGAAAATCTATCTCAGATAGCAACGTTCTATCTTTGACGTATGCTTTAGGCCTACTGATTTCTAAACCTATGAGAACAGTGACCCCTCAACCTAGATTTAAAAAACAACAACATACAACACTCACAATCCATCTGTGGGTACTAGTTTAATTGAAAACTTACCTTCTTGCACATCTAGAAAATAAAACACCAAAAATCATAAAACCAATTTACATTCTGCAAATTGTGTCTAGCTTTTTACCTGTAATTCCGTATCCATATCTTGCATTTTCTGCAAGCTTTTTAATTGCCTTGCCATTTTGAGTGTTATGTCTCATATTTCCCCAAGACCAACCAGATCGATCTAGAATCTAGGTATGGTAATTACATTTTTTCTAACAATGTTTTAGGAACTTACGGGATCTTGATGTCTTTTCCAAGTCTGATCCTCTCTGTGTGTTGTATATCCAAGACCTTCTCACTCGCAAGTATATAGAGGTAACAGATAATAAAGATGTGTAGCGTTTTATACTGTTTAAGTTTGCTTTTTATTGCTTTATTATATTACACTATGGTTATAACCAGTGCTATTACATATATCACATTTATTGTAATTTATTCATAGGCTGGGAGAACTGAGATAATTAAGGACAACCTAAATCCAGAATTTGCTAAAAAATTTATCGTGGACTACAATTTTGAACAATGTCAAAGATTAAAGTTTGAGTTGTAAGTTTTGTGGCTTTTTAAAATTATGTTAATTTTTTACTCAAAAATTATCTAACATTTAATATATATATGGATAGGAAATGCTTGCTTAAATGACATCAGTCATTTTATGAATAAGACTCATAGCCTAATATTATTATTCCAGCCTCCTACCTTCTTACTACCCTCTCATGTGACAAAACATTGCTGTGTTTTCTGTGTGAATCATTTGTACAATTTAATGCCTTCATATTTCTTCTCCTTTTCTCTAATCATACATTGAATGATTGTGTTGTATGATGTTAATTTTTATCTCTTGGAAAAAAGTTGTGTTGGACTAGAATATACTCCACAAAATGGTAATAGAGTGAAAATGTATTTGGTTTGAAATGAATCTTACTGTAAAAACCATAAGTTTTTGGCTTATTTTTGTATAAAAGCATACAAGTAAAAATTGTTTTAAAAATAAAATTTATTATAGGTATGATGTGGACTCTTCAAGTCACAGACTTGAACAACATGTAAGATTTTCATTTTTCATTGATTACTTTTGTTAATTTTTAACACTTTCTTGTTCACCATAACACGATGCCTGCAGTACTAATTTTATATTTTATAATTGCAGAATTGTAACCTTGAAAGTATTATAGATTTAAGTTGGCCAGCTCAAAAAGAGCATAATAAATTGTAATGTTTGCACTTAGATGCAATTAGTTTTAACATTTTTTTTATTATACTTGATTAGGACTTTCTGGGCTATGCTGAAACAACTTTGGGAGAAATAATTGGAGCTCCTGGAGGATGCATTTTAAGAAAATTGCAGTAAGTATTAAATTATCTTTAAATGGCTGGTTAGATATATTTTTGTTTAATATAGTAAATTAAGACTTGATTCATTCCATATGAATTTTAAATGAATTTTCTTCTCTTATTTTTTTTTTGTAGAAACAAAGTTCCAGGAAACTTTGGAGAAGTTATTTGTGAGTTATCAGTGAATAAAAATGTATTAAATATTACAGATTTTATATTAGTTAATTTTTTTAATTAGTTACCGTTATGAAAACTATAAGGCTAGTTGCAAGTACAAAACCACTGACTAATTCCTGTTAATTATTTTTCAGTAAGAGTAGAAGAATTGACTTCAAATAAGGTAATACATCAACTTAAGGCATGTTTCCATAGTAAACATGATTTTTATCTTTCTAGCCAGTTCCCCTAAATTAGAAGGTTCTACACACTAAGGCCCACATATTGTTGACTCAGTAAAAAAAAATCAACGTTTTTGTTGGGCAGACAGAGTTCACCTGTTTCTGTTATAATTGTAATAACTAATTTCCAAACTAATTAAAAAGCATTCTAGCTATTGGTGACAACATTCTTGGTAACATTAACAAAAGAATCAGAATAGTGTTTACTTGAACATGAGATTGTTAAAATGTTTGTGAATAAATGATAAGAAAATTTAACTTAGCAGGATAAACGTCAGAATGTATTTTATATTTAACATCTAAATGTTATTTGCAGGAAGTAATAACTGTTCAATTCAGGGGAAGCAATCTGGACCAAAAAAATTGGTGGGGGCTGTTTGGAAAATCTGACCCATTTTTGACATTTTATAGAGCAAATGAAGACAACAGGTAATAGTTTAAAGTAATATCTTGTATAGAGATTTCATTTTAGTCTATCTATATATATGTGTGCGCATTACTGCACCTTTCATCCTATCGCCATGGAACTCTGGGAAGTTGTTGAGAATACTCATGGGAAGGTTTCTGTGAAATTTTTTTTTGAGAGGTTCCAGCCTAGTGTGGTTTGGCTCCAAGATTTTCCAAGCGGCTATCCTAGCACTTAGTATCTGTTTATTCATTGGTAAATAGGCGGTTGTGTGACCCAGAGCGCCCCTGAACACTTGGGCTCCTAAGATAATTTTAAAGATTACAATTCAATTTGGACAGGGTGGGCTACAGTAATCGTTGACTAAATTGAACCCGATGCATCTTCAGACGCCCTGGAGATTGTGTGACTCAAAGCACCCTAGTCTCCCTTGTGAACCCTATGGGACATACATTAGTTTTAAAGAGCGCCCTACAATAGGGACATAGTGGGCCACTGCATTATGATGACTAAACCAAACCAGGGGATTCTAAGATCCACTATCGCGTTGTTCGCTGTTTACACTTAAATAACTCAGTTTTTGAAAACAAGGTCATGGATATAAAAATACTCCATTGATGACATGAGCTGGAGAAGTACGCTTATTATGTATATTATGTAAATATTTTTATTTAGCTGGTTTATAATTACTGTGTTTGTCTAGAAATATTGTTATTTATTGTTTGTTACAGAAGCTATTTTATACTGGTAAATAGGATCCAGCAACTTTTCCTGAATTGTCTTATGTGTTAAAAATGCAACAAAGTCAATTTTTATTGCCTTTTGCAATGGGTTTTGTGGTCATGGCTGATAAAACTTGTTTGTAGAATAAAACATCAGTTTCTATGCACATAGCTTAGCTCGTCCATACACAACTGTAACCCATTGTCAATGATTGTCATATATAGAAATATAATAATTTCACAATAATTAATAAAAAGAAAATGAACTAATTAACTGAGTGCCTATAAAATAAAAATCAGCTTTGAATTATCCTTATGAGCTAAACCTTGATCACATCCTCAGCTACACAGTGGTTCACAGAACTGAAGAAGTACAGCGCACACTAAACCCAACCTGGAAAACATTTACCATTCCTTTGAAAACGTTATGTAATGGTGATTATAACAGGTGTGGATTTAGTATTGAATGAGAATTTTATTAAATAGCCTTAAAACCAATGTTGCTTATAAATAAGATGATTAATGATGCTGAATCTATTTTATTCCACATAGGTCCGTCAAAATAGAATGTTATGACTGGAATGCTAATGGCAGGTAATTCTAAAAGGCTTATTAAACTGATGTAAAAAAACATTAATTACAAATTTATAATTAATATGTTCAGGATCTGTTATACTTGTATAAAACTATGGAAAAGGAATACATTTCATAATTTTTTATTTTACTGTTGTTCTAAAATGTTTTTATTTTATGATCTATAGCCATGAGCTGATTGGTTATTTTATAACAAATGTAAATGAAATTCTGAACTGTGATAAACATACTGCTTTTGAGGTAGGTAATCAGTAATGTTTTAGCTATTTGTTAAAATCTAATTTAAAATGCTTACCAGTACACTTAAAAAAATTTGTTTTCAATTACAGTTGAACAACCCTAAATCAAAGAAACATAAAAAGGCTGGAGAGGTTTGTAGATTTTGAAATACAAAAAATAATCACCACCTAGCAACACATGGAATTGTTTTGTGTTGTGGCTATCTATTGAAATATTTTATTACTAAACAATTTACATTTGTTTTTAGTGTATTAGTTATGCTTTTAAAAAGAGCATCAAAATCTTTTCAAACTTTAGGCATTTAAATGTGTTTTCTAATTCTACTAAAGATACCAGTGTCTGGGTAATTTCCATTGACATAATTTAGACATTATAATTGCTCTCTAATTTATCTGCCTATGTTCAAATGTTTCCTTTGATAAATGATACCAAACAATATAACAGGCCTTTAGTTTAGTTTATTTATTTTAGAATTGTTATAATTATTAAGTTTGAGCGAGTTAATATTACAAAATGTAAAATTAGATTCACATCACTAGTTTTACCTTATCATTGAAAAATGTTTTGTTCAATCAAGTAGTTTGGAATTTAGTTATTCAGCTTACTTGTAGTAAGATATAGTTATGGTTTATCCCATTCCTATTTTTATCTTACATCTGACATCAAAGCAGCTGTGAATAAATATCATGTTTTTTTAAACCGTATCACTAATATTAGTAACCAACCTTTTTTGGGCTTTCAAATTTGAGTGAGTCACATGCAAATTTCTGTTTGTTTTTGTGTCAGATCTACGTTGTTAGTTGTGTCAAAGATATAGAAATCACTTTCATTGACTACATCAGAGGAGGGTAAGTTGGTTACATTTTTTTTTTTCTAAAGTTTTTATGTCGTTCATAATGCCTCTATAGGTGGGTTTCTGGTCAAATCTTGTAGCTCAGTTTGAGCTAGTGGTTTGGCGTGGTCTGGTCGGATTAGTTCATGGTCGCTAAACTGAAAAGTCCCGACTTTGAACCCTCGGGCAGAAGAGGCTTTATAGCTGGGGATAGCAACCCATCTAGGAGAGAAAACTTCAAACTCAAACAACTGCTGTATATGTTCTTGGTTGGACAAACTATGGAAGCTAATCCAGAAAGAAAAGCAGGCTGGAATCTGAGTCAACACATAACACATAATACTTAATTGCATTGGAGGAAAATCCCTTCCAACATTACAATTAAGAACAAAGAAGAGTTTTGTCCCATATACAAGGCTGCTATTTTGTTAACTTTCCAGATAAATTAATTTCCTATGACAATGCAAGAATATACTATTATCAGTGTTTTTAGATATTAAAATAGCCATGAAAAGATCATGATCTTCATTAATGAAATAGTAGATTAAGAAGTAGGGACAATCAGTTGGGCGAGCAGTGTTCACTAGAGAGCCAACTAAGGGTCTAATGAAGGGCAGATAACTACCATTTAGTGTTACTGATTTGTTTTAAAGGAAACCTTTTTAATCATGTGTGGTGTTGACCATGATTCAAAGGAATTAAAAGGATAAATATGGTACTAGATCTAATTGTTTTTAAAACTTTGATAGCATCTATCTAAATATTTCAAAGTAGAAAAACAAAAAGTAAGTAGAAAACCTTTATAATTACCAGTTTTTATATGCATCAAAAAACAAAAAATTCTGAAGCGACTAATGCTATTTATAATATTACGAGCCGACCCGCAGCGTATTATACGCCGCTATTTAGTTGTTTTATTTTCTACTTTTCAGTAATTCATAATTTGTGAATTCGACAGTACCAATGCTGCCACTGAAAATATTTGCTTTAAAACACTAACCCCCCCTCCCCCTTTCCCCTAACCCTGACCCTACACCCCCCCCCCCGTGAAAGCAGCCTCCTCTTAGTTATTTCTTAGTTACCTCCTGTAAGTTTAAAATCGAACTAAATTATCTGCCCCTAATAGAAACCCGGCTCTACGGCTCTACGATTTGTAAACATTTAGCTTTGTAAACATTTAGCGTGACCACAGCTCACCAGACAATGTGGGGTGGGGGTGGTAGTGATAGTGATAGAGAGAAAGAGAGGGGACTGCAAGGAGGCGCTTGCAGCTTATTTTCTAACGGCTCCAAGAAGAGAATTATATATATAGATACAAAATTTGTTTTCTTATAACTAGTGCAGTAAAAGCTTGTTATTATAAATGTTTTGTACATATTTTTATTGATTCTCATACATTACATTAGCTGTTCCTTAAAATGTGTGACACTATTTTAAGGTATAGACTATATTTTTCTGCAGTCTGTACATAAACTTGACTTATTTCATTGATACATCTTCATATATATATATATATATATATATATATATATATATATATATATATATATATATATATATATATATATATATATATATATATATATATATATATATATATATATATAATTTAATGTTTAAAATGGCTTTGACATTTTCATTTTAGAAAACGTAATGAATGTCTGTTTGGTACAGGATGCAGATGAATTTTACAGTAGCCATAGATTTTACAGCTTCAAATGGTAATCCAACAAGTCCAGAATCTCTGCATTATATTAACCCATACCAACCTAACCAGTATGCTGCAGCTATATCAGCAGTTGGGGAAATCATCAAGGACTATGACAGGTATTATCAAAATTAACAGCTTCGTAGTAAAAAATCCCTCTTATTTTTATTCTTGCCAATTTATTTGATAATTAAGTGAATGTGAGATGTTCTAATCTATCCACATTTTCTTATGCTCTGTAGTGATAACATGTTTCCTGCCTTGGGTTTTGGTGCTAGAATGCCTGATGGTAATGTCTCACATGAATTTCCCTTGGTATGTTTATTGCAGTTATTAGTCTTTATATTTTTTGGTCTATTTTTATGCCAAACTGCCATACACAAATTTTCTGTTTGGTGCAGATGTTTAAAAAAAGTTTATCTCACAGGATGTCATCTTATGCCCTATTGATATAATAATACACCTTCATTCATATAACTAATTTAAGAAGTGTTTGTTAAAACCTATACTAATCAATGCTTTTTATTTTTTAGTGCATTTAAAAGCATGCTAGAAAGAAGTTTTAATTCTTATATTGAAATCTAGTTGATTAAAATCTAATTGAATGCATACTTGTTCTGTGACAGTTAAAATTGAAACCACTAAAATTCTCTATGAAGTATATGCACTCCCTATCAGTGTTAACTCCTGCTTGAAGATTCTTAATAACATTTACCATTGAACAACTTTGCTACAACTTAGTTACTTCCCTTTTGCTAATAAATTATTTACAAATAGTTTAGTTCCCACTGTTATTATATTTAAATCTTTGTAAACCCTCAACTTTTAAGTAGGACTTTTATTTTTTAATACTTTGTACATGTTTATAACAATCTTTCTTTGAGGTATAGATTGATGTCAACCAAACACATTTTAACTCTAACTGAACATTTAAAACAGTTTTAAGTCAGATTTGTTACCTTCACATACTTGTGAAATTTTAAGGGATTTTTTAAAACATAATCTAGCAGTTGATTAATAAGTGGTTTGATTTGTATTAACTAATTATATATTTTTTTCTACTTATAGAATTTTCAGATGAACAATCCATTCTGTGCTGGGATTGAAGGAATTTTGCATGCATACCAAAATGCTCTGCTCAGAGTGCAGTTATATGGACCAACAAATTTTGCTCCTGTGATAAACCATGTTGCTAGGTAATTTTTATGGGTCGAATGGATTTAGATGCAAGGACTGTCAAAAATTAAGAAAAAAATACTTGAATATATTTCCAATTCATTTATGTCTTTGTCTATCAGATTTGCATCATCCATACGTGATGGTTCTGAATACTTTGTCCTTCTTATAATTACTGATGGTATTATTACTGATCTGCCACAAACAACAGCTGCTATTGTAAATGTAAGTTTATCTGCCAGATATATTGAAAAGATATAGTTATAAGCCTGTCTGTAATAATCATCAGACTACCTGAAGAATACATCACAGTGCACCAACTCCTCCTCCAACTCTTCCCCACCACAATCTCCAAGTGATTGTTAACATTTATTTTTATTAAGAAATGGCACTTCCCCTTCTCCCAAATGTTTGCTTAAGATCCCACAAGCTAAAACCACCTGTGGCTGCACCATTTCAACCATGGGTGGCCCCAAAGTACTTGATAGTTTGTAGTGTAACACAGCTTCAAACTTTTTTCTTCTAAAGGCCTCAACGTTACCAATGTCAATTATCATCGTAGGAGTTGGTCAGGCTGATTTTGCTGGTGAGTGCATCTTTGAAGCTTAATTGGCAACTTTAAGTATGTGAATTAACAAGCAGCAAAGCCTGTCAATTGGCAGACATAAAGAAGAAGAAAAAACATGTTTAAATCAGAAAAAATATTTATATTAATTGTTTCCTTACTTCTTCTCTCTTCACAGCTTGTTCTTTGTTTGTTTCTCTTTGCTAGTTACAGCCTATTTTAATCAATATACAGAAGGATGTTTTTAAGAAAATAGTGCTAATAGCAAAATTAACTATTTTTAGAAATGAGATATCTTGATGGAGATGATGAACGGTTGTGTTCCCAGGGCCGTTATGCTGAGAGAGATATCGTTCAGGTATTCATTTTTCAGCTTACTACTTACATTTTTAGTCCAGTTTATAAATGCAATAGAAAGATTTAATTAAATGTTAAAAATTTAATTAAATGTTAAAAATTTAATTAAATGTTAAAAATTTAATTAAATGTTACAAATTTAATTAAATGTTAAAAATTTTAAAGTTAAAATCAAATCTCAGATTTCAAATTCAAACTTTTGTACAATTATTTATATTTATTCTAATTACTCAAAGAATCTTAAGACAGACAATGAAGCCTTACGACTCCTGGCATTTAATTTCCCTATCCCCACATAGCCAGTCGCATGAATTTCCATCTAAGCTGTACACCAGGTTGATGTTTATGTAAAAGTATAGGCAGAAATTTTAATTAAATCTAAGTTTAATTAGATTTCAATGAGTCTGAGTTAGACATTGATAAACTGAATTGGACTACTTTAAGTCTAGATGTAAATATTTGTGACCTGAATCAGTGACAACTATTTATTATGCTTAATTATTCAATTTAGCTCAAATTATTCTTAACATGGCAGTATGAATTGATCCAAACCATTATATATGAAGAGAACTGTTGATACACTAACACATGGTGAATAGAGACCAAAACTTAAGTCAGGCTGTATAAACTGGGAGTTATTTTTTAAAATCCTTTTATTATATGATTTTGATGTATTGGTTTGTTATTGAAATATTTGATTTTTATTTTCCTTTACAGTTTGTAGCATTTCGTGACTTCTTAACAGGAAGAGGTAGCATGGATGTGTCTCGAGCTTTGCTAGCAAAAGAAGTTCTTGCAGAAATCCCTGATCAAATATTATCTTACATGAACCGTTACAGAATCAAACCCAAACCACCCTTACCAAGCCCTATTCCTCAACACAGAACATTTCCACAGGCAAATCTTCCCAAGAATGATCGTTCCATACCTTTAGAACCTCCTCCTCCGTATGTTCCATAAAATGAACTACTTCTTAAATTTATGGACATTTTAACTACAGTCATTTTCTTCTTTCTGTTTTAAAAACTGCTAACAATTTTTTAAATAATAATAAACCTGACTAATCATTGTCTTATAAGAACTTTTTTAACTACATGAATAAATATTCACAGCAGCATTATCTAGCATTAAATTGTATCTCATGAATTAATAACAATTTTAGTTGTAATAAATCCAAGGCTTGCTAGCTGTTCCAATTACTATTCAACATGCCAATTTTTAAGAGTATTTTAATTTTGCTATTTGGTTATACCACAAAAATATACCAGTTTTGTTCATTAGGAAAAGTTTAAAAAAAAAAAAGCATGTCAGTGGATTGCATGGAAGAGTTAAGTCAAACTCTGAGGTTTCCTTTGCCTATGGGTGAACAACTCCATTTGCTAAAAGGTTAGATAAATATATAGATATTATTCTTTTGCTGTCAATTGCTGCAATTTCTGTCCAAAATATATTGTTTTTCCTTTTTTGCCCACAAAATATTGTTTTTCCTTTCAAGAGGCATTGTGTTTAAAACAGCCTCAAACTATTATTGATTTAAAATGGAATTACATTAGCATGGTGGACAGTGTATTTTTATGTTTATTTTTATATATTTTTATAAGCTCATTTTTAAAACAATTATTTTGTATGCTAATACATTTTTGTAATAAAACAATAACTTAGTTATAACTTTTTACAAAACTTTTGTCACATAAAAAAATCATAATAAATTTAATAATCATATGTGAATGTCTTCATTAAAAAAACAAGTTGGCTTTTTACATTATATTTAATAATACATGATATCATAATCTTTTAAGAGGGTACAATATTTTAATTTTCAATTAAAATATTCAAGACTTAAAATTGTATAACTTCATTTAATAGTTCAATTGTAATTTCCAAAACAAAAAATAATAGATCCAGCTATAAAGTAGGTTCTTAAAGGTTTCATTGTTGATACATTTAGTAGCACTGAAGCAGAAGTCACTTATTTATGTTTTGCCTACTACTGCTTTCTTACAAATGTTTTATTTGCTCATTTTAAAATGAAAATTTTCATTCAGATTTTATTTTTAGTGAGTGCCTCCAAAGATTTATATTATATGTGTGTATATATAAATAAATAAATAAACAAATAAAATTATAATTACAGTGCCAACAATTGATTCTTACAAATTTAGTCAATTGATTTGTGTATTAAGCTTAAAGTTTAACATTTATATTTTATTAAATGAAAAAAAAGTTTTAAAACTGCTGTATGCTGTTGCCATTTTTTAAATTGTGCTTAAAATTTTGTTTTTGTTGTGTGAAATTACTATTAATGGTTGTTATTCTACAAAAACAAGTTCAGATTTGTAAATAAAATAATTAGAATATGGTGTATTTTTTCATTATCATAAATTTACACTAAAATGTTTATGTTCGATTCTTTAACAATCTAAGGAAAAGTCTTTCTAGCTTATATTTAATAAATAATACAATACATTTTAGGACAATTATCATTTTGTTTTATAACATCTTAAATATACTAAAACTAGTAAGAAATCAATTATTTTAACAAAGTAAATCAAGGAAATATAAATATTTAGATTAATTTTTGATGTCATGCACAGTAGGACCTTAGATAATAATAATATTTTTTGTTTGTGCTGAAAAATATATTAATTTTTTGTTTGTGAAACTATCTTTCATATAATATTTAAAAAAAAATACTGTTTCAGTTGTAGATCTGTAAAACTAATAAGCATGAATAGTTAATTAGTTTTAGCTTTTATTTTCAATTCTCAAACTTTTAATTAAAACCTGCTATTATGACATAAACAGTAGTCCAACATTGTGATCATTTATAACTTTTGTAACTTTATTTCTAAATGATGCACCTATTTTTCTTTGTTGTTCATTCATTATTCAATAATTTTTTAGATGTATAAAAAAATTATTTGTATATATTGAATAATGTCTGGTTGTGCCTTTTTATGTTAAATTTGTTTAATGCAGTAAAGATATTTAATATCAATTAAAAAATTTTTTGCTAGTTTTTTTCTATTATTTATCCATTAATATGAAGCCTTTTAAATGCTTTCATTAAATAATTCAGCTCTAGTTGTGGTTAAAATACCTTTCTTAAAGCAGGCTAAAAAATGTGTATAAGATATGCATAAAATACTAATGTTGACCCAGTGGTATATTCAGAATGGGTGCCACATGTTTAACTTAGTTTAGGGGTCTCCAAATTTTCTTTTATATACAACAGCAAATTTTTTATCCTGCTTTTTCAACATGCCTGGAATTTTTTTTAATGGTTTCAAAATTATCAAAGCAAATACACATTTAAACCCCTCTCTCAAATTTACTTTTAAAAATACCTCACACCCTTTCCCTTCAGATTTCTTTCAGGTTAAAAGTTATTTTACAACATTTTCTTGCCAATTCAAAGATTTTGGAAAAATATATCGATGTTTTAAGAAAAATTGAAGTACAATTTTGAGGTGGGGGGGTGGTGGAGGCTGAGGTGTGGCGTCATTTTAGGGGTGAAGGTCTGGCTTTTTGTGACGATGTGTGATGGAGGGGAGGGGGGGGGGGGGGGGGGTAAAAATCGTCCAAAAAAAGCGTGACGTCATTTATGGATGACCCCCCAAGTTTATGACACTACCCCCACCTTTTTGGGTTTGTCAATTTGTACTTAAAATTTTATTTAAACTAACTCAATTGAATTATTAATTGAATTGGCAAAAGCATTTTGTTCTTGATGTATTTTTACATTTTTTGCCTCGGTGTCACACCTCTAATTGGTGCGGTCGGCACCGCCGTCTGACATCAGACCTAGTGACGCCACCGTATTGTATCATTTTAGATACTCTTCTGTCTGTCTGTCTGTCTGTCTGTCTGTCTGTCTGTCTGTCTGTCTGTCTGTCTTCCTGTCTGTCTGTCTGTCTGTCTGCCTGTCTGTCTGTCTGTCTGTCTGTCTGATTGTCTGTCTGTCTGTCTGTCTATCTGTCTACATAAAAAGCAATGTGACGTATGTGTGCATGTGTGTGTGTGTTTGTCTTTAATGCATTACTACATCTTTTATCTGATCGACATGACACTTTGGGTAGTTGTTAAGAGTACTCCTGGGGAGGTATCTGCGAAAAATAACTTCAAATTTGCAGGGATGGCGCCCCGCCAGGGCGCGATTCGATTCTTCTCTATATACGGTATATTAAAAAAAAGTGCTATGAAACTTTAGGGAATTTATGAGAATACTCCCGAGAAGGTTTCTGCGAACAAAATCAATTTCTTATGGGCGGTTGCCCGGGAAGGTGCGATTTTTGTCAATACATGGTTTGGCGCTCAGAGTTCTTTAGCGACTATCTTAGCACTTGGTATCCGTCAATCGGGCGTCCTGCATAGCGGATGATAGGTAGTACTATATGCAGCACTAAAACTTAAACAGGCGTAGCCGCCGTCGCCCCGGCTATTACGTGTCCCGAAGCGCCCCGAGCTCCCATGTGACCACTATAATCGTTGACTATATCGAATCGGGCGCGTCCGCCGGTGCCCCTGCGGGGTGCGATTTGGCGCACTGGGCTTTTCCCATGAGCGCTATGGCGCTTACGTTTGTTCTAAACAGTGCGATAGACAATGGATAAGATAGGGCGTTATAGTCGCTCACTAAATCCAATCAGGCGCGTTCGCCTGCGCCCCGACAGGGTGCAATTCGGCGCCCCGGGCTATCCCGTGAGTTCTATGGTGACTATGTTAGTTTTAAACAGTGCGATAGACTATGGATACAATAGGGCATTATAATCTTTCACTAAACTGAATTAGGCGCGTTCACCGACGCCCTGGTGGGGTGCGATTTGGCGGCTAGGGCTATTCCTTGAGCTATGGCGCTAATGTTCGTTTAATAAAGTTTGATACAATATGGACAAAAAGTAGTATTATAGTCGTTTACTGAATTGAATCAGGCGCGTAAGCCTGCGCACAGGCAGGGTCACCCTGCAAGGGTGCGACTTGCTCCGGACTATCCTCGGACTTTCTTCTAACCCCGCGGCAACGTTCGGGGACGGGCACGCATGCGGCTTATTTAATAACATGTGCATTTTAGTTAGTTTTTAAAAAAAATATCCATTCTGGCTCCCCTTGACGTTTACTCTGGGGCTGACTTTTCAAAATATTTAAAATAAAGATATTACCAAAAACATCAGACCAAATGGCCTAGAATCAAAGTCAAATTTAGATCTAGATCTAGTTTATAAATAGATCTGTTTGTTGATGGATGATCGTCCCCTTAAAAAACTTCACTCATATTTGATTTTACAGTAGTATCAATGTTTTTACTGCTAGTAAACAAATTGAAAACAATGATGATTCACGCAGCTCATAGGGAACTGCTGATAACACATATTTCAATCCCGTTCGAGTCTAAAGTTCATTATTTGCAGTAGATGATAGATAGTAGATAGAATCTAGTCTGAATATCTAGATCTAGATCTATATCCAATATCTAGAGAACTAGAATCTAGGAAGTTGTATTTTAGCGTTGGTTAGCTAAAAAATAGCCTACTCAACTAAATTCTCTTATTCTGGAGATCTCATTTCAACATTTCAAGTGGTTGTGTATTGTGTAGGACATTGTGTAGTAAAGTTAAGTAAAGTAATGACAGTAATCTAATAGTCTAATAGATTCTAGAATCTAGTAATATTAATAATGTGTAATGTGTAGCATAAGTCTACTCAGTACTCACTACTCAGAGTACTCAGACTGATAACTAATACTAATAACAGGGTCTAACAGTCTAACTACAGTAACACCTACTTGACTTACAGTACTTACACATATTGTTAATTTAGTTGGGGGGGGGGGGGGGCTAATTAGTTGTTTATTGTCCTCACAAATTCAATGTATTTTTTTAAATTGTAAAAAATAATTTAAAATATTTTAGTTAAGGCCTATTATTTTATTAAACTTGTTTGTTACACTCAGTGTCAGTGAGTACTCAGCACCATTTAGTAGAGTCTAGGAGGAATAACAAAAAAACAAACGTTAAATTTTTAATGACAAATGCAAGTGAATCAGCACTCAAAGAATAGAAAGTGGGATCTACTAGCTAGATTCTAGATCTAGATTCCATCTTCTAAAGCAGTGGTTCCCAAACTTTTTCTAGCGGCGACCCTATTTTTTATAAAAATTAAGTGACCCGCGACCCCCATAGAATTAAAAAGTCGAAATTAGTAAGGAAATTAATCATTAATAAAATTAGATTTTCTAGTAGACTTTCAATTTGAATTATTATTGATAACTGTTTTAATACGATAAGTAAAACTGCATGCTATTAAATAGCCTCGACATTCGCGGTTGAGGTTTTGTTAACGTCAACCTCATGTCATTCTTAACATTTATTTTATATCTTTGTTTTGTTTTTAATTGGAGAAGTGTTGAAAACCTATTCTCGCAAAGATATGTAGATACAAAAGGAACTAAAACTCAAAAGGCAATCAATTTAACGTTTGTGTATGACTGGTGCATACTACACCAAAATTGTGTGAGCAGTTTTTCATCTGATGCGGAATCATTCCGCACATTTAAGAATCCATCTTGTAATTCATTGGGAATGCTCGCAACATCAAGGGAAGCAGAGGATGGGTAATGTGTCAATACAGATTCTTCTTCTTTCTGCTCAGGGATAATGCCGCAGTTCTATGCCAAGAGATTCAAGAAGCCCAGCAGTCTGCTTTTTAAATTTGTATTTACCTCACGATCATACTCACCAAACATGGCAATATTTCCAAGATTTATTTTTCTTCGCCAATTTTGCAGCTTTGATAATCATGAAAAGATATAATATTCGTTCATTTTCCCTGAAGCTTCATCTTAATCTTATGTTGAGGTTTGAATATATCTGCTAGGTGTGCTACTCTCTCCAACCACTCTTTGTCGTTAAAGTATATCAAAAGGTGTTGTTTCCCTTGCACTTCCAAGAACAACTTGATTTCATATGTCAATTCAAAAACACGATTCACAACTTACTTTTGACAGCCAGCGTTCTTTAATATTGAAAAGTATAACCTCATAATCTTTATTCATATCTTTGCACAGTTCTTGAAACAGACGGGTGTTTAGGGGTCCAGATTGCATATAATTTACTACTTTTATTAGCGTTAGCAATGGAATCAGAAGAGTCTTGCTGGCGAGGGCATACTGGTGAATCATGCTATGGATTCCCCTTGGTTAGGGAGCTAAATCTTTTACTGTTTTCTGAAAGCTCGATCTTGACCCAAACATAGATGGCGCACCATCCGTACAAACCCCACAGCCGTTTTCCCATTTTTTAATCATCCAGTAAAAAAAACGTATTTATTTTCTCCATGATAACTTCACATAATAGCAAATCTTCTTTCTCTTCTTTGCTATCATCTGAATGAATATAGATCACAAGACAAGCAACTACGAACACTAACTCACGTCTGTTGATTCATCAACTTGAAAAGCAAACAATGGTGTAAAGCTTGATTTCATTTAAAATGTATACTTTAACATCTACAGACATGTCTGCTATAAGCCGATAAATAGAATTATTAGACATAAATATCTGTTCCATCTTTACTGCACTGAAATTCCAAAAAATTAATTTCACCATCTTCAACATTGAGGGTTTGATGAGATTTTCTCCTATTGTGTGAGAGATTTTTTTTTTATTGGCTTTTTTTAAGGCAACTTTGTATGATGTTTGCACTAATCCTGGGTGAAAACTTCCTGTTCAAACAAGTATGTGACGTTTGCAACTAACTTCATGCCGACGAAAGAACTCCCGATCTTTTGTGTGTGTTCCGAATAACTCGTCTCAAAATAACATTTTAGTTTTGAAGGTTTCATAGACTCGTTGATGAAAACACCTTAGCACAGTACGCATTGTTTATTTTCTATTCCATTTCCAGTGATGTTAGTAAGGCAGAATTTCAGATATTCTTCTAAATAATTATGTTTTCTTTCATTGCTAAGGTTTTGTCTAACAGTTGGCGACCCCCCCAGAAAGCCCTTCGCGACCCCCAGGACCCCCAGTTTGGGAACCCGTGTTCTAGAGATTCTAACCGCTTGCACTAATAATGTAGTTTAGTCTAAAGTCTAAGGCCAGTAGAAGCTAGTTGAATTAATATTACATAAAGTATATTACGTAGTCATAGATCTACAGTCTACATTATCATTAAGTATTAAGTATTAAGTTAACAAATTCATCAACATGTAATGATAAAAATATTAGGCCTAGATCTATTATATGCCTATATATAATATTATTAGTATTACTATTTATTAGGCTTAATAATAAAAACCTAAAATTTCACTTCAAAGTTTTTAAGTTTAAGACACTTTACCTTACTTTAAGATCTAGAAATTTTTTTTTTTAAGTGTCAAGGAACCAAAATCAATCTTCTTAACAAAAAAACAAAACAAAAATAAACTGAATAACTTTAATTAGGCCTACTACTAACTAGTTTACTATTAGTTTATTTAATAATTTAATAATACAGTTAGGACTAATACTAGAGTGTGCAAAAACTTTTGGCTGAGTTACCAAGTAATAGATTTACTAGTAAATCATGATTGTGAGATTACTACCAAACAGACTTTTACAAAGTGCAAGTAGATCACAGACTGCTAGAAAAGTAAGTTAAAAATATAGCAATATTTATAATTACAGTAGAGATGAGTAGACTCATGCAACTTAAACTGTAGCTGAATAAAATGGAATAAAAATAGTTTATAACCCACTGTCTCCTTGAAACTTAATACAGAGTAGACAGATGCAGTGATTCCATGGTCAAAAGGTAGAGCTAACCACTGCTAGCCTGAAACACAAGTTCAGATTTGTGGCTTGAGTCTGTAGGATGCCCTGAGTCCACCCATCTCTAATGGGCACCTGACTAATAATGTGGAAACTAAAGATGGCTGGGCATAGTGCTGACCACATTATCCATCTACTGCATCTCCCCCATGTATCTTGGGCACAAACAGGAAAATATATATATAGACAGATGCATTGTTTCACCTTAGTCTCATTTAGCTATAGTTTGTTGTAATTTTAGATCTTCACATCAGGGTGTCAGAGGCGGCCCCTGTTGACTGTTGAATCAAGTAGCACCCCTGACCCCCAGCCCCTGCTGACTGTTGAATCAAGTAGCACCCCTGACCCCCAGCCCCTGTTGACTGTTGAATCAAGTAGCACCCCTGACCCCCAGCCCCTGCTGCCTGTTGAATCAAGTAGCACCCCTGACCCCCAGCCCCTGTTGACTGTTGAATCAAGTAGCACCCCTGACCCCCAACCCCTGTTGACTGTTGAATCAAGTAGCACCCCTGACCCCCAGCCCCTGTTGACTGTTGAATCAAGTAGCACCCCTGACCCCCAGCCCCTGTTGACTGTTGAATCAAGTAGCACCCCTGACCCCCAGCCCCTGTTGACTGTTGAATCAAGTAGCACCCCTGACCCCCAGCCCCTGTTGACTGTTGAATCAAGTAGCACCCCTGACCCCCAGCCCCTGTTGACTGTTGAATCAAGTAGCACCCCTGACCCCCAGCCCCTGTTGACTGTTGAATCAAGTAGCACCCCTGACCCCCAGCCCCTGTTGACTGTTGAATCAAGTAGCACCCCTGACCCCCAGCCCCTGTTGACTGTTGAATCAAGTAGCACCCCTGACCCCCAGCCCCTGTTGACTGTTGAATCAAGTAGCACCCCTGACCCCCAGCCCCTGTTGAATCAAGTAGCACCCCTGACCCCCGGTGCAGGATGCCCAATCCATGTGTTCATGTAGTCTCTGGAAAAACTCAGGGCTTCCATCTGTACACAACTCCTGGGAGGCCGGATGATGATCCAGTGATCCGGGTTCAACTTAGTTAATAAATATAGTTGCCCACCTTATCCATAGTGTATGGCGCTCTTTAAAATGAATGTAGGCATATAGTGCTCAAGTAGTAACCTTGTCTACAGATCCCAGGTGTAAGATAGCGGCTGGGGAATTCCTGGCACTGAATTGCACCCTACTGCTGGGCGCGGCCACTCCAAAATTAATTTTTTTTTCAGAAACCTTCCCAGGAGCATTTTCATTAACTTCCCAAAGTTTAATGAATGGCGATTGGATGAAAGGTGTAGTAATGCTTAAAAGACAGACACACACAGACAAGACACACATACATTCAATTCATTTATATATAAATAAATATATTCAAATAAAAATATTGTTTTCTGTTTTTTAACCAGGGACAAGATAGATTTTTCCAGACCTCTTGGTATTTGAGCAGGTAAAAAAAAATTCTGTATTCTAGGTTTATCAGAATAGTATAAAATTACTACTTTCATGAACAAGTAAATTATCTTAATATATAAAAACCCACATGTGCACTTCTCTCTCTCTCTGTCCGCAACATATTTCCTAAGGGTATGAGATCAGTATCTTCAGCAATGTATGGAAAACTTAAAGATAAAGACTTTGGTTGGATGTATGAAATATATAAACTTAATTTTATTTAAAGAAGGAAAATAAAAATAAAGGCATATTTGAATGTAAAAACACATTTTTAATTTTGCAACCAGAAAAGTGTATGGTTGTGACAAGAATGCAATAAACAATGACGTCACATGCCACATATTTGAACTACGGAAAGTACATAAACACTAATGATGTCATCTTCCAATTTTAGAATATTACTTATGTACGCTATGAAATGTATACATTTTTCTCGTACAAAACTAATACAAATTACTTTTTAAAAAAACTACATAAATACCAGTGAACAGCTTTTTTTTTAAACAGAATCATTTAAGTCTCTTAATCAGTGTGTGCATTTAATATGTTTTTGTGTTGACTTATAATGTATATAATTAGGTTTAAATTTTTTAATAGGTATTGGTAGCCTATGTTATTTTAAATGTGTCGGATTTCTAGCCATTTAGTTTTTTCTGCTTTGTCACTAATATCGTCCAATGCGTAGTAAAGCACATAGTGTTTTGACCAACAGCTACTTTATAAATTATTCATATAATATAATTCATGTGTAACGGGTACCGATGGCAAGAGGTTAAATAAAGGTTGAAAATAGTCGTTTAGAGCAAGGTTCACAAGCTGTAGTATTGGGGTAATGTGAAGGAACAGCTGAGGGTTTATAAACATAATATTGGCCACTTTAAAAAACACTGATAAAATGTTTGTAAACAGACTGAAGCTTTTGTGACGTTCCAATATTCTGATTGTAATGCAATAACATTAAATATTCTAAACAAATATGCTTTATTTACAACTGCTTTAAAAAAAAAACCAGATAGGTTTTTGACCTACATGGTTGACAAAAAATATACAGTATGTAAAGCTACATAACCTACCACATAACAATGTTAATTTTGATGGTCAACAGATGAACAAAAGAATTAGAAAAATTTTGCAAGTTTGCAGCACAGTATCGTGTGCACACTCTGCTAGCCCCTCCCACACACTATTTGTAAAGAAAGTCAAATTAAATATAGCCACCAATGGGCTGGAGATAGCCTTTCTTGTGTTAATTAGACTCAGGATTGTTTGAGAGCTGACAGATTTCCTGTTTGGTTAAATATTCCAGAGTTTTGTCATTAAAAAAGCATAGAGGAAGCAAAGGAGAGTTACGGAAGGCGTAAAGTTGTATTTGTTTATTCCTTTATGGTGTAATTACAATAGTTGTAGAGTTTTTGCACTCGTTATATTACTTCTATTTATGTATGCCTAACTAAACTTGTGAAGTTGATGAATGTCGTTAGTTAAATTTTAGTTCTGATTATAAGCTCAGCTAAGCAGTGACACAACCTTTAATCTCGAAGGATGGGTAAAGTAACAGGACAAGGGGTGCATACATAAAGATCATGATCAAGAGTTAAATTCTTGTAAAAGTTTGTGGACCACAGTTCTAATGTATAGAACTCATGAGTCATGGGTTGAATGTAAAACCTTAATCATGGATTAAAGTTGTAAATTAGACTTGATATTTTTGTGTGCTATCATCTATGTCACATGAATGTTTCAGCTCTGACCATGAGTATCTCCATAAAACAAAGATTCCCACCTACCACTTTCAACAAAGTCTGCCCAGACTACCAGTGCCAGACCTGGAGAAGTCGTGCCAGAGATACTTAAAATCTCAGCTCCCATTGTTGTCAGACAAAGAGTACCAAGAGGTGCAGAAGGTTGTTGAAGAGTTCCAAAATGGAAAAGGACAAGGTAAGATTAGAGAGGATATAGACCCATTCAGAAACCACTGTTGAAAGATGAACAATTTACATTGCCTTGCCCTGACTTAGCATGAATAAATGGTGTCATTGGTAAGAATAGCATATAGTTATTGTTTAAAAACTAGTTAATGATATTTTAAAAAGCTAGGGAATTAAAAAAAAACTGCACATATTGTTGATCTTACACCATTTCTGTCAAACTTTGGATCATGGGTCACCTGTTTTAGATTAATTAACTACTTAAATGATTCCCATTGTACTCATACATATTACATGTTATTCACATTTTATATGGATTGCCATTAGGAGAAGGGAGGGGTGTGTGTGGGGGGAATTATCCAATGTAAATGTGTGTGGACCAATACAAAGTGGGGGGGGGGGGGGGGTTGAATCCTTTTTTGTTTATTTATTAACTTAGAAATAGATGACCTTTCAAAATTATGTGCACATTCATATCAAATGAGCATTTTTAAAACTGTATAAAAACCTCACAAAGTAGAGACAAAGACCTTTTGACCCCCAGTCTTTATCAGAAAACATCAAACTTTTTCAAATACTGACAAATGAAGTTAGCACACTTCTCTACACAAAGTGAAATAAACACAAAGACATAGAACCTAACTGTAGTGCTATTATCTGAAAACCATGCACTACTAAAAACTAGAAAGTTGTTATTAAACAGTAATTACAGAACTGTAATAAATTTTGAACATGTTTTGTTTATAGAGTTGCAGAAGGAACTGGTTGAAACAGATAAGATAAACAAGCACACAAACTATGTCTCAGGTATTTACTTACCACTTACTTTATTTTGATTTACTTTCATTTTGTGGTTTTATTCATTGAAGAGGTGATGCTGGGAGGGAGGGGTCCCATTGTTTTGAATTGCACAAGAAGAAAATGGACAAAAGAAATTGTTAGCAAAACTCAAATATTCTGATGATATGGGATAAACATATCCAGAGTGAAGCAGTTCTTAAACTAGTATAAAAATAAAACTTAAATTTAAAAATCTATTTTTAGATCTCTGGTTTGATATGTACTTAAAAGACAGGCGGCCAGTTGTGCTCACCCACAATCCTTTCATTACATTTGCACCAGACCCTCGGCCAGAGTACAGTACGCAGGTTAGACTTTTTTTAGTACTTGGATCAATGCTGCATTACTTCTATGTTTGATTGATTCACTGAATGATTTCTACATTTGTGGTTGGGTCTATGCTGCATTACTTCTGTTTTATTGATTCATGGAGTGATTTCTACATTTGTGGTTGGGTCTAAGCTGCATTACTTCTATGTTTGATTGATTCATGGAGTGATTTCTACATTTGTGGTTGGGTCTAAGCTGCATTACTTCTATGTTTGATTGATTCACTGAATGATTTCTACATTTGTGGTTGGGTCTAAGCTGCATTACTTCTGTTTTATTGATTCATGGAGTGATTTCTACATTTGTGGTTGGGTCTAAGCTGCATTACTTCTGTTTTATTGATTCATGGAGTGATTTCTACATTTGTGGTTGGGTCTAAGCTGCATTACTTCTATGTTTGATTGATTCACTGAATGATTTCTACATTTGTGGTTGGGTCTAAGCTGCATTACTTCTATGTTCGATTCACTGAATGATTTCTACATTTGTGGTTGGGTCTAAGCTGCATTACTTCTATGTTTGATTGATTCACTGAATGATTTCTACATTTGTAGTTGGGTCTAAGCTGCATTACTTCTATGTTTGATTGATTCTATGTTTGATGTTTAGTTGATTCGCTCTGTGAATATGCTGATCTCATCTGTACGAATGATGAAAACATTAAGAGATGAGCAGCTTGAACCTGAAGTTTTCCACTTAAATCCATCCAAGTCCAACAATGATACATTCCGTCTGGTCACACGGTAGGTGCACATTTCTCTTTACACTGTTATAATGTCACTTAGAAACATGCAAAGTGTGGGTAATTATAACGTCACTTAGAAAGGTGAAAAGTGTGGGTAATTATAATTTATAATATCATGACTAATGAGCTGTTGTTCTTATCATTCTAACCTGTGTAATGAACTTTTTTTAGGGATAATATTTAGATTTTCCTGAAGTGGCAGATGGTTCTCTCATTGAGCAAGTCTACCACTGTGTGTGTTTGGGTGACACACTTAATCAAATTTTTGAACAACCCTCCTATTGTTTGTTTTATGGAACATTAGTTCTGTTAAGTGTTCATGCTATAGTAATATTTTACTGCCCAGTATACCCCATGTTGCTGACTTGATGTATACAAAACTTTCAGCTTACTGCCACCCTCCTTGTCCTGGTATGGAGCCTACTTATTCAAGGCTTTTCCATTAGATATGAGTCAGTATAAGCGGCTGTTCAATTCATGTCGAATTCCAAGGTGAGCTCATTTTTACAGGTGGGATAAATTTGGTATCTAAAAGTTCAGAAAAACAATAGGTTTTTTTAGGCATTTAGAAAAAAATGGCGATAGAAAATTTTTAATTATGAATTACATTTTTTAATTCTGACTGAAATAAAAGTAAACTCTTTTAAAGAATTTAGCTCCTGTCTTTATTACTCTTAAAAAATATTTTTCCAACAGACCTGAAAAAGATGAACTTTTTACTGATAAAAATGCTAAACACATCCTTATAATGAGGAAAGGAAATTTCTATGTGTTTGATATGCTAGACAGAGACGGTGAGCCCATATTAGCATAGTTGTCGCACATATTTAAATTTAATAGTAAATACATTCTTTTAATTAGAGCATTATTTAAAACAAGAAAAATTAAGACATGAATTCTTGTTTTAATTGACTTTGATGTTTAAAGCATGGTTGGTCTGCATGATTTACTACAAAATAAAATGTAACCCAAAGTCTGCTATTTGCAGTGCAACACATGGCCTTTGATTTGCAGGTAACATCACACCTGAGTCTGAAGTCCTGTCACACCTGAAGTTTATTCTAGAGGACACAACACCAGCACCTGAGTTTCCCATCTCTGTCTTAACTACAGAAAATAGAGATGTCTGGACCAGAGCTCGTGTACAGCTCATTAATGCTGGTGGGTCAGTTCATTTGGCAGAGGGTGGGTGGGTGGGTCAGTTCATTGGGCAGAGGGTGGGTGGGTCAGTTCATTGGCCAGAGGGTGGGTGGGTCAGTTTATTGGGCAGATGGTGGGTGGGTGGATTCATTATCCAGAGGGTGGGTGGGTCAGTTCATTGGCCAGAGGGTGGGTGGGTCAGTTCATTGGCCAGAGGGTGGGTGGGTCAGCTAAATGCACAGAAGCAATTAATTTAAGTGTCACATTCATTAAACCATGTTACCACAACAAAGTTTGTACATTAAAAAAAATGACATTTAACCTCAGAATTTCTTTAGATTCCAGAAATGAAAACAAACTTCGTGTGATTGAGAGTGCCATGTTTGCCCTCTGCCTTGATGATTTTGAGCCTAAAGACCCCAACGAAATTTCACACAATTTTCTCCATGGAGATGGCATTAACAGGTAAAAAAACACCTGTGCGTTCATTAGCAGTGTGTTCATTAGCTGTGTGTTCATTAGCCGTGTGTTCATTAGCCGTGTGTTCATTAGCCGTGTGTTCGTTAGCTGTGTGTTCATTAGCTGTATGTTCATTAGCTGTGTGTTCGTTAGCTGTGTGTTCATTAGCTGTGTGTTAGTTAGCTGTGTGTTCATTAGCTGTGTGTTTGTTAGCTGTGTGTTCATTAGCTGTGTGTTCTTTAGCTGTGTGTTCATTAGCTGTGTGTTTATTAGCTGTGTGTTCATTAGCCGTGTGTTCGTTAGCTATGTGGTCATTCAAGTTTCATTGTAGTCAAATTTTTGTTTAGCATACTATGAATTAGTCTATTAACTTTGTAGCCATTCTTTTATATTGAGCCACTAAAATTTCTTTGGTATTCTTTGATATCAACAAATTAAGTTGAGACAGATTAAATTATGTTCATTCTTATCTAAGAAGAAGCAGAAATAAAAAAGCCTTTATAAATGTAAATTCTTTACCAAAGAATGTTGATTAGGTAGACAGTTGTATTTCACATTATGATTTAAAGTGAAAAAATGGTGGCTAATTTTTAAAAATCCCATTCTTATTGTACCAGGTGGTTTGATAAAAGTTTCCAGCTTATAATCACCAAAGGAGGAACAGCTTCAGTCAACTTTGAACATTCATGGGGCGATGGGGTGGCTGTACTACGCTATTTTAAAGAAGTTTTTACTGACTCAACAAAAAAGCACTGGGTGAATCCAGACACCAAACCATCAACCAATGCCAGTTCAGAAAGGAAAGTACAGAGACTTGGTAAGCTTTTCTAGTCCATTTCTATGCATAGGATTGAGGAAAAAATGTTCAGTGTTTGTTAATGAAATAAATATTTTCCCACCAGATTTTAAGCTGGATCCATTTATCAAAGAGACAATTGTAAAAGCCAAGCAAAGGTTTGAAAGTGTCACCAGTTCTGTGGACCTCCACCACCTTCAATATGTCAAGTTGAACAGAAATGATATAAAGAAAGCCAAGCTTAGTCCAGACTCAGTCATGCAGCTTGCTATTCAGGTGTTTCTCTCACAATTTTGTAAACTTAAATATATACCTTGATGTCTCATTTCTTGAATATAATCTATTCACAGTCATGGTTTTACCACTCAAACTTTTGTTTACAGAAGCTACCATAGTTCCATAGGTTTCAACTGGTTCTCTAACCAAAAGAATTGCCTTAACTGAGCATGAGAAATGAGCACACACCCATGTTAAAAAATTGTACGAGCATTGAGGAGAATCAGGATGGTTATATTTTTATTAACGCAGGCACTACTTCACCCAATCACTGATTTGTACACAATACCTCTGTTCCCATCACCTTCTCACTCAGAAACAACAGATGCTATTGGGGATCTAAGGGTTATCTCCCCTTCTCCCACCCTTTGCTTTTAGGCATTTGACAGATTAAAACCAATCCTTCTATAGCTCTTCTTTGAAACACCAACAGGAAAGGGTGTTTGTTTGTCATTGTAGATTGGTCAAAAGCTGGTTATGTACAGACTTAAAAATACATGTTTTATATCCTAGTTTTTTTCTGTATTAGTATCTTATAAGAAAAGTTTTAAAAATATGTTCTTCTAACATTTCTTATTTCTTTGATTTGATTTTACATAGCTGGCACATTATAGGATGTACGGAAAAAATGTTGGAACATATGAGTCATGCAGTACGTCTGCCTATAAACATGGGCGCACAGAAACTGTCCGATCTTGCACCTCAGCCACCAATCAGATGTGTCAGCTGTTGTTAGAGAAAAGTGGAAAACAAACCAGCAAAGACGAGTTAATGAAAGGGTTACAGGACTGTACAGCAGTTCACAACCAGCTCACTAAGGAGGCAGCTATGGGTTCGTTAGGACAATCAGTTAAATACTTTAAAAGACTTACAAATTTAATGACATGGGTAAAAAAGACAATGATAGAGATTCTTTAAAATAATATAAAAACTACCTAGATGGTGTTAAAATAAGTCTTGAATTGAGTTAGCTCCCTTATAAAATTATGGATGGTGTTAATTTGTCTTGATATGAGTTATCTCCCTTTGATTTAAAAGTATGTCTTGAATTAAATTATTTTCCTTATAAAATGAAAAATATGTCTTGAATTAAATTGTTATCTCCCTTATAAAACTAGGCTTTAATGTGATGAACTTTGAACTGTTCCATATTTTGGGGCATTTAAGTCCAACTGTGTAAAATCCTTGAAGAAGTTGTCATATATTTTCATTACTAATATTTTAACAACAGGGTAAGAAGTTTAGCATACGAACATTTCATTTTAATTGCTTGCTTCATTGAATTTTAATTTGTTTTACTTTTTCCATATGTTGCGCAAAATTTTTGCTGTTTTAAAAATAAAATTTAAAAATTAATATGTATTTTTAACCATTTTTAACTAATTAGTTCTGTAAATTAAAAAAAGTATTTCCTTAATTTTATTGTGAACTTGCTTAGTTTTGGCAAGATACTTGTCATTATTCTGGTTTTTTAGTATGTCTGTACACTCAAACCCAAATTAGAATCAGTTATAGGTTATGTTATGAAACAAAATTCAATGTGGTCAACAACGTATCCCAGACAACCAATCAATTGTTTGTAATTTCAGGTCAAGGATTTGATCGCCATCTGTTTTGTTTGAAGAACTTGGGAGAGCAAAAAGGTCTTACCCTGCCCATCTTTACGCACCCTTCATACACTAATATTAACCATATCATACTCAGTACTTCAACACTGACTGATCCTTCTGTGTCCATTGGAGGATTTGCTGCAGTTACACCTGATGGTTTTGGAATAGGTAATTGTTTACATTTGATTTCCTTTGTGTTTCTCAACATTAGATTTTCATGCATTAAAAGTATTTTTTACTTTCTAAATTTTTCATTTTTTTATCTGAAGGTTGTCAGGTCTTACATGTAATTTATTTATTTAAATTGCTGTTACTTAGTACATCAGTATTTGACAGAGAGCCTTCTTTAGTTACATTTACTCATCATTTTAGTACTTAACATCCTGTTGTTTGAAGTAGTTATAGGTAGCCTGTTTTCCCAGAGGCATCAGACAAGAGCCTTCTAGGTAGATCTGTAAATCTTTCTTATGTCACTCTCCAAGTCTTCACAGGGTTTCTTTTTTATTGTGTCCTGAGAATTCCAAGTGAGGGCCGTTTGTCAACTTTTCTAAGTGTATGACCAATACATAGGTACCAAAGTTACAATATTGACCCCAAGAAATTTTATGTTAATTACTATGCTAATAAAATGTCATTTCAGTTACCATGCCTATGAAATGTCATTTTATTTACTATGCCTATGAAATGTCATTTCCTATAAAATATGCACATTTCTTTATCTTCCCACAGCCTATGGTGTTGACAACAAGTATTTAGGCTTCAATGTCTCAACATACCCCCAGCGCAGTGCTAAAGATTTCATTGCAGCATGTGAGAAAAGTTTGGATCAGCTGCACGTTATCATAAAGGCTATGGGAAACTAATTAACTGGCTTAATTAGACATTTTTGTTGTGTAAACATTGCTTGTTACATTCTTGTTTTTAAATGACATATTTAATTAATTAATCTCTACATGTTAAAAAAAACAAGTTTGGAAATGATAATTTCAGCTTACTATTAACAAAAAAAATTGGGGTATAGTATCTGACTCAGACAGCAATTGTGAAAAAAACTAGGCAGTGAAAAAAAAGAAACCAAAAGAAAAGTACGCGGCCAAACGATGGCCTCTGTTTAGAAAATTTCTTACACCATAGACTTTTTTATTTACATCTGTTGATTTTACACATCAACACTGCACAGTTAGGAATGGGATGGTAGATGTACACTCTGCTGATGGGGAATCTTTCCATTAAAATCTTGATGCTTGTGAAATGTTATTTTATCTTTATGTATACATTAAATAAAACATAATTGTTACTTTTCTATTTTAAAATAAATTGTTTACAATGAAATATTCTTTACTTATTTGAATCTTCTTGAAAAGCAGATCACTAGGCATGACACTTAGAACCTGTACATTTTAAAAGATTTCTTACTACACCAAGTATTTTCTAATATTAAAATTTTTACATTTCTCAAGTACATGATTCTAACATCTGAGACATTAATATAATAATTAAAATAATAATATAGGCTATTAAATTTGAATAACCCAAAAAATCAGCATTTGGCAATTCTCCAAATTTAGACAAATTTCAAATTGAAATGTTTTCTAGGGCCTCAATATTTTGTGTTGTGTACATGGACTTAATGTTATCAGCTATCACCAGGTTCACATGCACCCAGTCCACAATTTACATATTGGTACGCCTACATTATAATGAACAGATGCGTAGACCTAGTGTGTAGCAGTAGTACTACTGATTCCTCTTTGATCACCTTCCTGCTGGATCCTGTTGGTCATAAATTACATGTCAAGCTATCTCTGCTGAGGTCTAAGACCAGTCATCTATGTTACAAAGTGTTACCTGCAAAAGGATTACAAGTCGTATGGTGGGTTAAAAAAACAGGTGGGGGGGGGGGGGCAGGCGTGGCTTTATAAAAAATGTAATGATAAACATGTACCTGAGGCATTAGGAACACCAGAAGAAATGTTACAACTTTTCTGAAAGAGCAAGCTAGTGGACAACATTGAGGCATTTAGTAGATGTAGCTATTACTATTATCTTTGTATTATTATAAAAAAAACATTCACCAAAATAAAACTATTTTAAAAATAATTATAAAAACACAACAAATGCTGGAAGACGTGGATTTATTCCAGTTTCAACTCTCTGCTGGGCCAAGTGTATGTAAGGTGAATTCTCTGCTTGCCTGAGCAGTGATTGTTGTCTCAGAAGATTTGTTGTTTTGCTTTGAGTGAGAGTTTTGTGGGGGCGGGGTACCTAATACCACACGATGCCTAGTGCCTGCTTCCTAAAGGCTGTATAATATTTTCGTATTGAGTGATATTGAATTTAATTATGTTAAGACAGGAACACCGATTGAGTTGTGAGGCGTTACTGAAACCTTAAGCGTCAGGTTAGCTGTGCGTATACATGTGTGTATAGATATTCGTCCACATCTATAATGGGTCATTCTCTTAGTGGGAAAGGGTGAGGTCGAGGTCAAAAGCATGGAGTGTGTGAGTGAGCTATAATTAGCCTATTTGTGTGCACATGGGTATTTGTGTTTAACCTGCGCCAGCTACTTTCCACTTTGAATCCTGCACAACTTTAAATTATTGATGCTATTTGTTGAGTCTTATCATCGATTTCATGGTTCGGAGATATCGATTGTTCTCTACGGGACCGTACACTTCAACAAGTCAAATGTATCAATATTTAATCTCCGTGTTTTATCCCCGTACTGCCCCGAGCTTTATCCACGTAAAGAGTTTTATTCACGTAAAGAGTTTTATCAACGTAAAGAGTTTTATCAACGTAAAGAGTTTTATCCACGTAAAGAGTTTTATCCCCGTAAAGAGTTTTATCCCCGTAAAGAGTTTTATCCCCGTAAAGAGTTTTATCCCCGTAAAGAGTTTTATCCCCGTAAAGAGTTTTATCCCCGTAAAGAGTTTTATCCCCGTAAAGAGTTTTATCCACGTAAAGAGTTTTATCCCCGTAAAGAGTTTTATCCCCGTAAAGAGTTTTATCCACGTAAAGAGTTTTATCCACGTAAAGAGTTTTATCCCCGTAAAGAGTTTTATTCACGTAAAGAGTTTTATTCACGTAAAGAGTTTTATCCACGTAAAGAGTTTTATCCACGTAAAGAGTTTTATCCCCGTAAAGAGTTTTATTCACGTAAAGAGTTTTATTCACGTAAAGAGTTTTATCCACGTAAAGAGTTTTATCCACGTAAAGAGTTTTATTCACGTAAAGAGTTTTATCCACGTAAAGATTTTTATCAACGTAAAGAGTTTTATCCACGTAAAGATTTTTATCCACGTAAAGAGTTTTATCCACGTAAAGAGTTTTATCCACGTAAAGAGTTTTATCCACGTAAAGAGTTTTATCCACGTAAAGAGTTTTATCCACGTAAAGAGTTTTATCCACGTAAAGAGTTTTATCCACGTAAAGAGTTTTATCCACGTAAAGAGTTTTATCCCCGTAAAGAGTTTTATCCACGTAAAGAGTTTTATCCACGTAAAGAGTTTTATCCACGTAAAGAGTTTTATCCACGTAAAGAGTTTTATTCACGTAAAGAGTTTTATCCACGTAAAGAGTTTTATCCACGTAAAGATTTTTATCCACGTAAAGAGTTTTATCCACGTAAAGAGTTTTATCCACGTAAAGAGTTTTATCCACGTAAAGAGTTTTATCCACGTAAAGAGTTTTATCCACGTAAAGAGTTTTATTCACGTAAAGAGTTTTATTCACGTAAAGAGTTTTATTCACGTAAAGAGTTTTATCCACGTAAAGATTTTTATCAACGTAAAGAGTTTTATCCACGTAAAGAGTTTTATCCACGTAAAGAGTTTTATCCACGTGCTGATTTATCACAGTTTTATCCCCGTATTGCAGAGGCGTAGCGACCCTTCCCGGCGTCCGGGGACAAACTTTCGATTTGTACCCCCCCTCAAACTTTCGATTTGCACACCCACCCCCTTAAACTTTTGATTTGCAACCCCCTTCAAACTTTCAATTTGTTTTTCCAACCCATTTTGGCGCCCCCTAAGGTCGGCGCCCGGGGACATATGTTCCCCACCGCCCCCCCCCCTTCGCTACGCCTCTGCCGTATTGCTCCATGTTTTATCCCATTGTTTTATCCCCGTACTGATTTATCCCATTGTTTTATCCCCGTACTGATTTATCCCATTGTTTTATCCCCGTACTGATTTATCCCATTGTTTTATCACTACTGATTTATCCCATTGTTTTATCCCCGTACTGATTTATCTCATTGTTTTATCCCCGTACTGATTTATCCCATTATTTTATCACCGTACTGATTTATCCCATTGTTTTATCCCCGTACTGATTTATCCCATTGTTTTATTTCCAGTACTGATTTATCCCATTGTTTTATCCCCGTACACTGATTTATCCTATTGTTTTATCCCCGTACTGATTTATCCCATTGTTTTATCCCCGTACTGATTTATCCCATTGTTTTATCCCCGTACTGATTTATCCCATTGTTTTATCCCGTACTGATTTATCCCATTGTTTTATCCCCGTACTGATTTATCCCATTGTTTTATCACTACTGATTTATCCCATTGTTTTATCCCCGTACTGATTTATCCCATTGTTTTATCCCCGTACGGATTTATCCCATTGTTTTATCCCCGTACTGATTTATCCCATTGTTTTATCACTACTGATTTATCCCATTGTTTTATCCATGTAAGCTCTGTGTTTTGCCCGAGTGATTATAATCCATTTGCGTTAATGATTAAAGCTCAATTAATATCGCTATTTTTAACGGCTTATTCGCTATTAAAAAATACGAAAATGAGTGCAATCGGTGTTTTCCAAATGTTTTTAACTTTAATCCGTCAGTACGGATTAATTCAGTCACTATTTTTACAGTCTTAATGTCTGTCTTACTCTACCGCTTAGTACGGTCATATATATATATCAACACTATGACAGAATGTTTTAATAGATTAATAAATATGTACATAAAGTATAGCAGTGAACCGCTTCTTAACCCTAGTATTCAATTTTTGTATATGTCTTTTCTAGTTTTTTTAGGCCTAAAAAGCCTAACGGAAGTCATAAAGTCAATATTTCATGTGTACACTCTTTCAATCAATTTGATTTTTTTGGTCTCGACAGTGATGGTTCAATCAATCTCAGATCAATAGGATGAATTCTTAAATAATTAAAGCTCTAATTTAAATCTAACTTCAAAAGAGATTGCTATTAGCTGTAGCCCACTCTTAATTGTTCATAGATACCAGCAAAGGGGCATAACAATGTGTGGTGGCATGAATTTACAACACTGATAAACATTTAGTTTACATTAGCAGTTATTTGTTTAATAACTTGTGTAGGCTACAATTGAACAACCTGACGTGTGTAGGCTACAGTTGTACAACCTGACTTGTGTAGGCTACAGTTGTACAACCTGACGTGTGTAGGCTACAGTTGTACAACCTAACGTGTGTAGGCTACAGTTGTACAACCTAACGTGTGTAGGCTACAGTTGTACAACCTAACTAGTGTAGGCTACAATTGTACAACCTAACGTGTGTAGGCTACAGTTGATACAACCTAACTTGTATAGACTACAGTTGTACAACCTAACGTGTAGGCTACAGTTGTACAACCTGACGTGTGTAGGCTACAGTTGTACAACCTAACGTGTGTAGGCTACAGTTGTACAACCTGACGTGTGTAGGCTACAGTTGTACAACCTAACGTGTATAGGCTACAGTTGAACAACCTAACGTGTGTAGACTACAGTTGTACAACCTAACGTGTAGGCTACAGTTGTACAACCTGACGTGTGTAGGCTACAGTTGATACATTGTTTTACAGATTGTTGGAATTTTGTGACCGGAGGAGGAGGGGAAGAGAGAATTTGGGGGTCGGGGGGGGGGGGGGGGGTCGGGAGAAGGAACAGTTACAGGAAACGCTATAATGGAGATGTATTAGGCCCTATTGGGTATGGGAAACAAGTATATTTCTGACTTTTGAATCTCTTAGAAACTCTTCACCTTTATGTAAATAATGCATTTTAAATCAAATGATTACTTATTCAACCTACTTCATCGCAGAAAAAAACAACAATATAAAACAAACAAACCCCCCCCCCCCCAAAAAAAAACAACATACAAGCTAAACTAAAAACTAAACTGATTTAACCATGAGTTAATTGTTTCAAAACATTAGACAACTCATTTAATGACCGACTATTTATACATTACAAAACTAATGTAATTTTGAAACAAAATTTAAAATAATGAAGAGAATAAAAACAAAATTTGAATTTACTCATTACAAAATATTAATGAAAATGAAAACATGAGTGAAAAAAAACATACATTTATTTTAGCCATCGTATATCACACGTGAAATTATTTAGTTTAGTGAAATGATAAAAACAAATGCTGTGTTTAAAAATTACATTAGAGACTTCTCAGTTCATGGAACTTTTTAAAGTTTTTCATGAAAACTGGAACTAGCTAGATTAAAGAATTTAACGTGGATGGGTAGGGGTTAAAATGTCGCATCTGTAGGCTTCACAAATAGTCGTCCATACAAAGGTCCTTTCATAGATTGTGCTAAATATATTGTGAACTAAACCAACAGGTTGCAATAAAAAAAATGATAAAACCCAAAGGTCAATCTTTTTTTTTAGAATTACGAACATATTAGTTCTCTTTATTAGACTAGAGCTGAAATGGCTCTCTTAAAATAAATATTTAAAAAACATATGCTTTACAAATCAATACAAAAACTAGTACAAGAGTATCGATATAAGGCGAAATTACCGAAGCCAACTTTTCTTGGAGGCTGTGGATAGGGAATGTGGTATTGGTAAGTTACATAACAGTTACGTCTAAGTTTTCAAATGTGATGTCACCCTAATCCACTTCGGTGGATCGCGCATTTCTTTACTATCAATAATTTTTTTTTCTGTGAAAGTTCCGATTGGAGTCACCCCCCTGTCCCCATTTTGCCTAATGACATCAATTTGTGCTCAGATTATATGATTATATTAATCCACCTACAAATTTATGTGGGAAAACCATAGTTTTCATAGTAAAATTATTGGATGTTGTGTCACAATTATCCCGGTCGCCGATTGACGTGTCAGTTATTGAAAATATTCAATCAAAAGTTTTTCACTCTGTAAATTTAGCAGTCGTGTCATCCCCCCCCCCCCCCACCCCAATGCTTTAGTGCCGATGTTTATCTATAGTCATATATTAATACAGCTGGGTGTAGCATTGTTTTCTCTCCAGTTGGCAAGTTTACGTCTTGGTGTTGTCGTCCGTCTACCTTCCTTTGTCGGAATCATCAATATATAGCCTACTTAAAAGTCTTTTAAACTTAATGAATCATCTATTGGATATATATATATATATATATATATATATATATATATATATATATATATATATATATATATATATATATATATATATATATATATATATATATGGCTTCCCTAGAACCAGACTGTTTTAACTTCACTTTTCAGAAATGATCACAACAAGACTTTAAAAATATGTTTTCTGTAACATTTCTATAACAAGGACTTGATAAATTTCAAGTGTTGTTTTATCACGGTGAGATAAATCATCATACATAGGTGAATTTATAACACAACAGACAACAGTGTGAAAATCACACACAATATATATATATATATATATATATATATATATATATATATATATATATATATATATATATATATTTATCAACCCGCACAAGAGCATATGCGCAAATGTATTAACTAAACATGGAATACTTGTGAAAAATACATGTAAAATAACATATAAAATATAACAGAGTAGTTTGTTGAACATAATCAAATTGTTCTCCTTGTAACAATACGAAATATATAAATGTAACAGTTAAATATATGGATATCTGTCATTTTCAGATGGACATTTTTTAAAGGCACATAGCTAACTATTTTCTTTAATAAACCCTTATCATTAACAAAAGGCAACTCTAAACGTGCCTCGTAGATTTGAATAGTGAACTGTGGAAGTGTACGTGGTCCGTACAGTTCTTACTGGATCTCAATCACAGGACATACACGAATATACATTCACACATGCTAATGATTCCCCATATATATATATATATATATATATATATATATATATATATATATATATATATATATATATATATATATATATATATATATATATATATATATATATATATATATATATATATATACTGTGGTCAAATAATACAGATAGTATGTCAGACATTTGCTTGAAAGATTTGTGTACCTGGCATCTTGTACACATGACAACATAAATCAGCTGATAAAACAATCAACATATAACAATTCAGCAGTCAACCACATATGCTGCAATCTTGAATGAGCTTTAGTTCCCTATCATTGGTAAGTTTGTAATCCCTAAAAATGTTTATGTTTCCTTTCGCCTAGATGTTAAGTTTGTGTTCACGATAGTTGATTCGTTTTTGTTCCCTAACATTGTTAAGTTTTTGTTCCCTATAATTGGTAAGTTAAAGTTCTATTTTGTTCAGTTAAAAATTCCTACAAAATTTATTTTTCTAATGATCCCTTTATTTGCTATGCTAATAATTTCCGTTTTATTTATTCAAATGACCCTTACAATTTTTATGATCATATAATTCAACTGATCTCTACAATTCTAATGGTCTCTATAGTTATGAACGTTTCTACAAATCTTGGAATAAATGTTCTCGACCTCTAGCTGTATCACGTCACCAGGTATATAGGTTTTAAAAGACTCTCTTTCATTTAAGGGATCGCTGTTTATCCAAATTGAGTACACGATTTTTCTCCAGCGTGCAAACGCTTCAAAGTGTATGAGGGCGGGGTTCGAGTAGTTTGGCTTGAGCTCTATGACCCCGCTGGTACTGGGGAGAAACAGGATGTGTGAGAGACCCGCCCCGTGCATGCCTACAAGGATGTCGCAGCTCGCGATGATCTCAAGCTGTTCCTTCATGGGCAGGGCGTCCAGCTGGAGGCCTCGAACATTCGACCCCCGCCCCAGAGTTTTCTTGATGGACTCGATCATTTCCTCCTCGTTCTCAAACTTCCGGACGACGGTGCCCTGCTTGTTGCGTGGGTGGGCCACGTAGTCGTGTCGCCAGATGACCACCACATTCAGACGGTTGCAGTTGATGACGTGGGACGTGGAGATGTTATGTTGGATCAAGAAAAATTCACGGAATTCATTTAAATACGGAACTTGTAAACTGTTGTGGTCGTTTAGTGGACTAAAATACCCAAGCTGTGCCCAGAGAAGATTTGTAAACAAAGTTGGACTTTCTAACCGCCCGGCTCTGATGTACCGCCCGAAAAGTGTCGACCACACGTCGTCAAGGGTGCCAACAGGGTGGGCGTCAACAAACAGAATGTTGAGCTTCGAGGGCGCTACGCCGAAGATCAACATGAGGACAAAGGCGTTGTAGAAATCTGTCATGGTGTGGTAAAGGTTGACGTACTCGTAGCGCTGCACGGCCAGGGTGACGCTGGAAACTTTGGGGAAACTCAGCAGGTCGGTCTCGTTGGTTTTATAGCAGGCCAGCATCTCCATCCAGTGGACCAGGTGGTCGGGTGGCTCAAACTCAATCACAGGTTTAGACGTGCACGGTACACGGAAGAAGCCGGGGAGGAGCCGGAAGTACTCGTCTTCTTCTTTCTGATCCCAAACTTCCTCCATCTTCTCCCCACCTTTTCTTGTGTTCTCCACCTTGTCGGGGTTAACTAGAGCGTTAACGAACATAACAAAACGACCCCCAAATGCCGCGATGTTTCCTTGCTCGAAGCAACTCATCTGTTTGGTGTGTTCTAAAAACGGCGGCTGGTCTAATACAACTGGCCGATCAAACAAATACGCCGTGGTTCTGTAGCCACAGGCTGTCTTTTGATTCTCTTCTCTGTGTGTGTGGGACACTGGACTCACCCGTCGGGTCTTTGTGTACTGGACTCTTAGGGCCGGTCTCTGAGTCTCAGTGGCAGCAAGTTTGGTGGCATCAACAGACAGGCGCCCCTCCCCGGGGATGGCATCAAAACCAGACACCGTGTCCGCAGACTTCCAGCCGATGGACAAAGCGAGGAGCAGGGCGTTCACCAGAACAATTCCTATGACGATACATTTCATGGGCCTGATGCGGCGTGGTGAGAAACACAGCAAGCCTCGATCTGGGGACAATAGTGGAAAGGTTCAACAATGTAAACAACAATCACAATGACAGCGGTACAACGACGTGGGGTCTCATAGGGTAAAATAACAAAATGGGACCTGATTAATTATAATTTTAATTCACGACATTTTCTTGATAACTCATAGTGAATTGGTGGGAGTGATTCTCATTTAACTATTCTGTTGATTCTCTAAACGTGACAAAGTGACATAAATTGGGCACATCGTGTACATGACAAAGTAACTGTTATTTGATGTACTAGTAACTGTTGTTTGATGTGCTAGTAACTGTTGTTTGATGTGCTAGTAACTGTTATATAATGTGCTAGTAACTGTTGTTTGATGTGCTAGTAACTGTTATATGATGTGCTAGTAACTGTTGTTTGATGTGCTAGTAACTGTTGTTTGATGTGCTAGTAACTGTTATATGATGTGCTAGTAACTATACTAACCGTTATTTAATATACTAGTAACTTTTATTCGATGTACTAGTGTTATTTAATGTGCTAATAACTGTTATTTGATGTACTAGTAACTTTTATTCGATGTACTAGTGTTATTTAATGTGCTAATAACTGTTATTTGATGTACTAGTAACTTTTATTCGATGTACTAGTGTTATTTAATGTGCTAATAACTGTTATTCGATGTACTAGTAACTTTTATTCGATGAACTAGTAACTATTATTTAATGTGCTAATAACTGTTATTTGATGTACTAGTAACTTTTTTTTATGTGCTAGTAGCTGTTAATTTAAAATAATGTTCAAAACTCTCTGTAGTTCTATGTTCTATGCATGTGTTTGTGTGTGTGTATGTGTGTGTGTGCAAGTTTGTAAAAGGGGGGGGGGGGTGGTGTTTAAGAGTTTGTATTTTTGTAACGTAAAAATGGTGGTAAACGAAATAATTACATAACTTTATATGATGTGGCAGTGGCAGGAATGTCATGGGGGACTGCCAGGAACATTGTCGATGACCGACAAAAGTGGAGGGAGCTTTCTTAGGCGGCCCTATGTGTCTTGGGCAAAAAAGGAAAGATGATAATTATATTCGGGGAGGGGGGGGGGGGGGTTAAAATACAATAATTTATACGTAACATTTGCAAGATTTCATATACTAAATAGCGTAAAACAAAACCTATATAAAGTTCAGGATATTAGAACTGTAAATTAATTAAATATCAAAATATACTTCTTTTTAAAGCATTTAAAAGCTTGTTATTGTCAACAGTTTTCCCATGTTCTTTTAATCAATAGCAATTCACTTCTCGGTATTTGGACGAAACGGTACAAAGCAAACATATGGGAGCTGTTCATACACAGGTATGACGGTCTTAGGTGGGACCCACCAGTCGAGTCTTTAGGGAAATATTGAGCTCTCATATGTCGTTGTAGAGGGTGGACGCAAGAATTAACTCCACATTTTAATTTTTGTTGCTCAATTTTATGCTTCGACACAGTGTTTTTAGTGTTGTATAACAAAAATTAACATGTTAAAATATCACCTCAATCACTTAAAACAAAATGAGTTGTAAATACAGTGGCGTGTACACACACACACACACACTCACACCCACCCACACATACATATATATATATACATATTATATAAATACATATTATATATATATATATATATATATATATATATATATATATATATATATATACAATATAAAATCTTTCTATCTGTATAATATATATATATATATATATATATATATATATATATATAATTTTTATATATAATAAAAACAGTTTCTAGGACATAAAGGCTTTTATACATGTATATATATATATATATATATATATATATATATATATATATATATATATATATATATATATATATATATGTATATCTATGTATATATATACATGTATATATATGTATATATATATATGTATATGCATATATATATATATATATATATATATATATATATATATATATATATATATATATATATATATATACCTGAACTAAGGGACTAGTAATCTTACTTTCTTTTCTCTCCATGGCTGTGATGAATAAACGTACAATGTCCGTACATCAGGGGACCAGATTGGTGAAAATAAAATCCTCTTTCACGTGTATCCTCTTCTATCTACCTACAGATAGAATTGGACACCAAAATATGACAAACATAAACTTGCTAGATTTTACATTGTACGTCTGATCTACATATAAGCTGAAATCATCCATATCCGTGACTGAAGTGTTTGATGAGCTCATCACAATGTAGACACACAGTTGGATTCCTTAGGCTAGAGATGCATGTTACACTAGAGAGCCAGTCGCGGACACAAGAAGCGGCCAGCTGGGCTTCTGGTCGGGCAGGAACATATCGAGCTGACCGTTTATTGGCGGACTACCTGGGACTGACACGCTGGCGTCATTAGAACTTTGGATTACTTAACGCTATCAGCAAGTACCCGGGCCCCACCCCTCCAATCACACACTAACGACACACTGGACCGCCATAAACAAGATCTCCCCCCCCCCCCCAGTCTACAGACGGGAGGAGATGGGTTCCATGTATTTGTAATGGCTCAGTATTTTAGGGAACACATGCCAAAATACTTCTTTTACTCTAATTTTGCTATAATTACTCTAGACTAAGGCAGATGATATACATCATTGAAGTTGTGATGTGGAAGTCGATACGATGTTAGCATCTCTTATCATGATATAACTGCCGTTATTACTTTTGTTATTAATTTTGTCAGTACTTTTGTTAGTACTTATGTTAGTACTTTTGTATATCACATAATAGGAAAACCCAAATAACGATTGGACATCAGTGTACAATAGCACCTGAACCCGATCTAGTCAAAGCACCTGTGGTCAAAAGCCCACTGTGGTCAAAAGCCCACAGTGGTCAAAACCCCAATGTGGTCAAAAGCCCACTGTGGTCAGAAGCCCACTGTGGTCAAAAGCCTACTGTGGTCAAAAGCCCACTGCGGTCAAAAGCCCAATGTGGTCAAAAGCCCAATGTGGTCAAAAGCCCAATGTGGTCAAAAGCCCAATGTGGTCAAAAGCCCACTGCGATCAAAAGCCCAATGTGGTCAAAAGCCCACTGCGGTCAAAAACCCAATGTGGTCAAAAGCCCAATGTGGTCAAAAGCCCACTGCGGTCAAAAACCCAATGTGGTCAAAAGCCCAATGTGGTCAAAAGCCCTATGTGGTCAAAAGCCCACTGCGATCAAAAGCCCACTGCGGTCAAAAACCCAATGTGGTCAAAAGCCCAATGTGGTCAAAAGCCCACTGCGATCAAAAGCCCAATGTGGTCAAAAGCCCTTTTAGGTCAAAAGCCCAATGTGGTCAAAAGCCCAATGTGGTCAAAAGCCCAATGTGGTCAAAAGCCCACTGCGGTCAAAAGCCCAATGTGGTCAAAAGCCCAATGTGGTCAAAAGCCCAATGTGGTCAAAAGCCCAATGTGGTCAAAAGCCCAATGTGGTCAAAAGCCCACTGCGGTCAAAAGCCCAATGTGGTCAAAAGCCCAATGTGGTCAAAAGCCCAATGTGGTCAAAAGCCCACTGCGGTCAAAAGCCCAATGTGGTCAAAAGCCCACTGCGGTCAAAAGCCCAATGTGGTCAAAAGCCCAATGTGGTCAAAAGCCCAATGTGGTCAAAAGCCCAATGTGGTCAAAAGCCCACTGCGGTCAAAAGCCCAATGTGGTCAAAAGCCCACTGCGGTCAAAAGCCTACTATGGTTAAAGTCCACTGTGACCAAATCAACTAAAACCTTGAAATCTTCGCAAAATAAGAGAAAAATAATCCTCTTAAAATTATAATATAGAATTATGCACCACTGTTATAAAGAAAAGCGTGGATCACTCATAAAATGTTAACAAGCGAATTCAATACATATAATAACGACTTAATTAAGCTCTTCTGTATATTTAAATAAAAAGTGATGCATCATATTTATTTATAGAGCGTGTTTTAATAAACGTTTTTATGACATAAGTGCAAGCTATTATTTAACTTGATTCATTATGCCTTTTGTATTTCGTCTCATTGCTTTGTCCTTCACGAGTCTAAACTTTCGAATAAATTTGTTTCAAACTTGACATGTAGATCAAAACCCAATAACAATCTAATGTGACATAAACACATTTGATTAAATGTTTAATTAATTTTTCTTTATATTTATTTTTTCCTTTTAATGCAATTATAAGAGCTTGTTATTATAAACTGTTTGTTTTTTTTAATTTATTTTTTTTACCATTTTTTAAACTTTACTTGGACTTTTATTTAAGTCATCTAAATAAATCTTGGTAGACCACGAACTATCAACTTGTGTTCACATTTCAAACAGTTCACTAAAGTATTTTCATTTTACTAACGCTAGCTTAGACGTCATGTATTTTAATATTAATGTTACTTCAGGACAGCTCAATATTAACAAATAGAAAGAGTGTAAAACTGTCAATCCTACCAGTAACTCTCATTAAACTACACAGTAGCTTTCGTTATCGACATACCCCCCATTCCCACAGTAACAGAAACATTGCACGCGACTATTAGCAGTCGTCAGACACATGACTGTTCGTGTTTTGGATGTAGGCCCTGTAAGAAGCTTGGTAGAATTCTGATTGGGTCTGTCTTTGTGCACACATTATAACTGCAATCATCGAGCTGACAGTTCAACGATTGACTATCTTGGCAAATTTGGACCATGGCACTTCTAGTGAGGTTGTGTCAACATTTATGACTGCTCTGTTTCAATTGAACACAGGCGGCACGTCAAGGCACATTTTGCCGCTGTTGATATTCTGGGATAAATACGGAAGGAAGATGATTCTCAGTAGTGTGGCTGGAGTTGGTTAATTAGTGGTCCCAGTTGAGAGGTTACCGTAATAATTTACATTAGTTGACCAATCATTTGAGGGGATATGCTCAGGAGAAAATGATTACAATTATTTAAAATCCTGATTTATATTATATCATAATGAGTTTTATGGACTTTTGGATTCTTTGTCCATTTTAAATTTTAAGAAAACAAAAACGGAAATGGCAGTTTTTAAATGAGTTAATTATGCATTTTATAACTATATGAAAAAAAAAATTTCCCCACCCCTTCAATCTTACACGTTTGCTACGAAAAATTCGATGTCATTCATCATGATTTATTGGGCACCATTGGAAAGCAGGAATGTCTACGGTATTTGTTAATTGACTCTACAAATTACACAGAAATGATATTTTTCTGACCTCCTATTTTTTACACTAAAAACAATTTTAAAAAGCCTAAAATTTCTAAAAAAATAAAGCAATTCCCTCTACATTTTCAGTATTAATTTATCAATTCATAATAAAATTTTATCACCAGGGAATCGTGATGGCTTTCGTAGAAAAAAAGTTACTTATGGACATTTTTAAACTGGTTGTGGACTAAATATACTGTGATACTGAGTGGCTCGGGGCTAGACAAACAGTGGAGAATGAAATAAGGGCAGACCATCAGAAAGACAGTTAACGCGAAAAGGTAGTGGATAGGGCACACCATCAGAAAGACAACACCACTAGATAGTTGCGAGTCTGGAATCCACGGGTAAAGAGGTGGAGACCAAAACAGTTATTTAAGAATCGTTAGAAAGAGATGTGGTGGGGGTGGTGGGGGTGGGGGTGGGGGTGAATTGTCAGGGTTTAAGCTTTAAAAATGAACCGTGTTAGTTCATGAAGTGTTGCCTATGCTCTTTGGGAGTCAAAATGGAATAAAAATCAGAAAATTTTAGGAGTCGGCGTGGTCGGGTCGGTAGAGCTCGTGGTTGCTAAACCGAAACATTTTGATTTCAGACCCCGGGGCAGACGAAGCTCTATAGCCGGGGACAGCCACTCAACTAGGATTGACAACTCCAAAATCAAACAAATGCTGCCGTGTAGTTTGTTCTTGGTTGGACAAAGGCTATGGAAGCAAATCCATTTTTAAAAAGTAAGCTGAAATCGAAGACGGTGGTTTGTAGAAGATGTAAGCTTATTTGGTCCACTTTTGGTCGTGTCTTTAGAACAATTTTGGAACAAGTATATTACAGTTTTGGATTCTCAGTTAGATTGACCCTAAGTATTGCAGTCATCAAGTTGTACCGTGGTCGGAGTTAAACTTGGTTTTGAGGGCTAGTAGCCGTAACTATAGCGGTAACTATAGCCGTAGCTATAACCATAGCTATAGCCGTAACTTTAGCCATAGCTACAGCCGTAACTATAGCCGTAGCTATAGCCGTAACTATAGCCGGAACTATATCCGAAACTATGTGCTAATTGCACTATTAGAGGGTGGTTAATATTGGTTTACTTCTTCAAAAGTTGAAAGATTTATCTTTTCACCAATGAGGTGTAGATTCTCCCGATCTGCATTGGCGAATCCTGGAAAAAGTTGGTAGAGCGGGTTTTAGTGGTCATTTATTCTTTATGGTATATATTTTTTTTACTGACACGTAGTCGTACAATACATGTTAATATAATTGGTTTCTAGTCTAGGTATTAAAAGATTTATCTACTCCTCAATCCAGTCTAGATAATTCTGATTTACTCTATTCTACGTGTTATAAGATTTACCCCCCCCCCTATAGGTGAACCGTATTAAAAGAAACTGTTTCTTAATGGTATATATTTTACTGTTACACGCTATGGTAGCAACATTATTATCAGCATGTAAAGTTTTGTAGCAGGCTTTTCTTAACTTTGTGGATAATTCAATAGCAACAAAGTTTAAAATGAATTTTTCCCCGAACCTTCTAGTGCCCTCTAAGATCGGCGCCCGAGACGGACGCCCCCCACCCAAAGCATAATAATACGGACCACTCTAACCCTAGCCACGCCACGCAGGCTAATGTTTTTATCAGAGATAAGGTCCCAGTAGATAAAACAGTTCAATGTAGCATCGATGTGTAGTCATAACACATTGATAACACGCGGTCATAAATTTAAAACAGATGGACACACAATGGATGCGATTGTTTGATACACTGTGGAGAAAATATACAGACATTTATTACTGCCGGCTGTTTCTACTGTAATAAATTAATTTCTTGGGGGGAGTGCAGTATCAATAAACTGGCATAGTGACAAAATAGTGGTTAGAACACTAGACCATGAGAAATATTTGTATTTACAAATGCCACAAGGCCGAGAAGCGCCCTTCCAAAATAAAGTGAATTAAACACATAAAGGATAATTTTTTATATACATAAACCACCCATATACAGTGTTTATATACCAACACACACGTAAATGAGAGGTTTATTTTGTAATTAGAATTAATACGATATAATGAAAGTAGCACGTAGCGCCCATCTTGGTTGAAAAATTTAATGAACTACGCGTGAAGGTGTGTGTGTGTGTGTAAAGTAGATATTATTGTTTGTGTGTAGAGAGGACAATGTGTGTGTGTAGAGAGGACAATGTGTGTGTAGAGAGGACCATGTGTGTGTGCGTGTAGAGGACTATGTGTGTGTGTGTGTAGAGAGGACAATGTGTGTGTAGAGAGGACAATGTGTGTGTAGAGAGGACAATGTGTGTGTAGAGAGGACAATGTGTCTGTGTGTAGAGAAGACAGTGTGTGTGTAGAGAGGACTATGTGTATGTGTGTAGAGAGGACAATGTGTGTGTAGAGAGGACCATGTGTGTGTGTGTGTAGAGGACTATGTGTGTGTGTAGAGAGGACAATGTGTGTGTAGAGAGGACAATGTGTATGTGTGTAGAGAAGACAGTGTGTGTGTAGAGAGGACTATGTGTATGAGTGTAGAGAGGACAATGTGTGTGTAGAGAGGACAATGTGTATGTGTGTAGAGAAGACAGTGTGTGTAGAGAGGACAATAAGGACAGTGTGTGTGTTAGCTATAGAGGACAGTGTGTTAGCTATAGAGGACAGTGTGTTAGCTATAGAGGAGAGTGTGTGTTAGCTATAGAGGACAGTGTGTGTTAGCTATAGAGGACAGTGTGTGTTAGCTATAGAAGACAGTGTGTGTGTTAGCTATAGAGGACAGTGTGTTAGCTATAGAGGACAGTGTGTTAGCTATAGAGGAGAGTGTGTGTTAGCTATAGAGGACAGTGTGTGTTAGCTATAGAGGACAGTGTGTGTTAGCTATAGAGGACAGTGTGTGTTAGCTATAGAGGACAGTGTGTGTTAGCTATAGAGGACAGTGTGTGTTAGCTATAGAGGACAGTGTGTGTTAGCTATAGAGGACAGTGTGTGTTAGCTATAGAGGACAGTGTGTTAGCTATAGAGGACAGTGTGTGTTAGCTATAGAGGACAGTGTGTGTTAGCTATAGAGGACAGTGTGTGTTAGCTATAGAGGACAGTGTGTGTTAGCAATAGAGGACAGTGTGTGTTAGCTATAGAGGACAGTGTGTGTAAGGTATAGAGGAGAGTGTGTTAGCTAATAGAGGACAGTGTGTGTTAGCTATAGAGGACAGTGTGTGTTAGCTATAGAGAATAGTGTGTTAGCTAATAGAGGACAGTGTGTGTTAGCTATAGAGGACAGTGTGTGTTAGCTATAGAGGACAGTGTGTGTTAGCTATAGAGGACAGTGTGTGTTAGCTATAGAGGAGAGTGTGTTAGCTAATAGAGGACAGTGTGTGTTAGCTTTAGAGGACAGTGTGTGTTAGCTATAGAGGACAGAGTGTGTTAGCTATAGAGGACAGTGTGTGTTAGCTATAGAGGACAGTGTGTGTTAGCTATAGAGGACAGTGTGTGTTAGCTATAGAGGACAGTGTGTGTTAGCTATAGAGGAGAGTGTGTTAGCTAATAGAGGACAGTGTGTGTTAGCTTTAGAGGACAGTGTGTGTTAGCTATAGAGGACAGAGTGTGTTAGCTATAGAGGATAGTGTGTGTTAGCTATAGAGGAGAGTGTGTGTTAGCTATAGAGGAGAGTGTGTGTTAGCTATAGAGGACAGTGTGTGTTAGCTATAGAGGACAGTGTGTGTTAGCTATATAGGACAGTGTGTGTTAGCTATAGAGGACTGTGTGTGTGTAGAGAGGACAATGTGTGTGTGTAGAGAGGACAGTGTGTGTGTAGAGAGGACAATAAGGACAGTGTGTGTTAGCTATAGAGGACAGTGTGTGTTAGCTATAGAGGACAGTGTGTGTTAGCTATAGAGGACAGTGTTTGTTAGCTATAGAGGACAGTGTGTATTAGCTATAGAGGACAGTGTGTGTTAGCTATAGAGGACAGTGTGTTAACTATAGAGGACAGTGTGTTAGCTATAGAGGACAGTGTGTGTTAGCTATAGAGGACAGTGTGTGTTAGCTATAGAGGACAGTGTGTGTTAGCTATAGAGGACTGTGTGTGTTAGCTATAGAGGACAGTGTGTTAACTATAGAGGACAGTGTGTTAGCTATAGAGGACAGAGTGTGTTAGCTATAGAGGACAGTGTGTGTTAGCTATAGAGGACAGAGTGTGTTAGCTATAGAGGAGAGTGTGTGTTAGCTATAGAGGACAGTGTGTGTTAGCTATAGAGGACAGTGTGTTAACTATAGAGGACAGTGTGTTAGCTATAGAGGACAGAGTGTGTTAGCTATAGAGGACAGTGTGTGTTAGCTATAGAGGACAGAGTGTGTTAGCTATAGAGGACAGAGTGTGTTAGCTATAGAGGAGAGTGTGTGTTAGCTATAGAGGACAGTGTGTGTTAGCTATAGAGGACAGTGTGTTAGCTATAGAGGACAGAGTGTGTTAGCTATAGAGGACAGTGTGTGTTAGCTATAGAGGACAGTGTGTGTTAGCTATAGAAGACAGTGTGTGTTAGCTATAGAGGACAGAGTGTGTTAGCTATAGAGGAGAGTGTGTATTAGCTATAGAGGAGAGTGTGTGTTAGCTATAGAGGACAGTGTGTGTTAGCTATAGAGGACTGTGTGTGTGGAGAGAGGACAGTGTGTGTGTAGAGAGGACAATAAGGACAGAGTGTGTTAGCTATAGAGGACAGTGTGTATTAGCTATAGAGGACAGTGTGTGTTAGCTATAGAGGACAGTGTGTGTTAGCTATAGAGGACAGTGTGTTAGCTATAGAGGACAGTGTGTGTTAGCTATAGAGGAGAGTGTGTGTTAGCTATAGAGGACAGTTTGTGTTAGCTATAGAGGACAGTGTGTGATAGCTATAGAGGACAGTGTGTGTTAGCTATAGAGGACAGTTTGTGTTAGCTATAGAGGACAGTTTGTGTTAGCTATAGAGGACAGTGTGTGTTAGCTATAGAGGACAGTTTGTGTTAGCTATAGAGGACAGTTTGTGTTAGCTATAGAGGACAGCCATCTTACCTAGTTAGAAATAAAAAGTGTACACATCAAGGAAACCTATCTCTGTGACGTCACAATATATTGTAAATTGAGATCCTTCTAAAGCTACTTTAAGTGAAATAAACACTTCAGTTGCATATAAAAAAAAAAAAACTTGCTCAGTGTAACAGTCTGGGTATTAAAACAGTTGGTCAAGTAAATAAAAACACTCTAGCTTCACATAGCAATCAAAAAGTTTGAGTGAAACCAAAGACAATTTTCCGATAAAAGTGACGACAACCAATCGTTGAAAAGGTTTTATGGCAATCACCATTGATTTTAGATCGGGTAATCTACGCGTAGATCAGGGACGGGACATTAAGCTGTAGAAAACAAATACAGTACAGTAGTATGTATAGCATCTTGACAGTATATATAGCATCTGGACTATTTTCGTTGATATATTTTAGATATTTTGGAGGAGAAAAAATGTTATCTTACATACAAGGTAAAGGTTTATATGTATTTTTCTAGTTATGCACAAACTCCCGGCGCCCCCCCCATATGTTTTTATATTTTTAATTCAAAACTGCAGCTAATTTTTTTCTAACCCATTTTGGCGCCTCTAGAGTCGTTTCATGTGAACGTTGCTCCTGTACAAAATGACATTCACATTTCATGTCATTTCATGTGAACGTTGCTCCTGTACAAAATGACATTCACATTTCATGTCATTTCATGTGAACGTTGCTTCTGTACAAAATGACAGCCACATTTCATGTCATTTCATGTGAACGTTGCTTCTGTACAAAATGACAGCCACATTTCATGTCATTTCATGTGAACGTTGCTTCTGTACAAAATGACAGCCACATTTCATGTCATTTCATGTGAACGTTGCTCCTGTACAAAATGACAGCCACATTTCATGTCATTTCATGTGAACGTTGCTCCTGTACAAAATGACAGCCACATTTCATGTCATTTCATGTGAACGTTGCTTCTGTACAAAATGACAGCCACATTTCATGTCATTTCATGTGAACGTTGCTTCTGTACAAAATGACAGCCACATTTCATGTCATTTCATGTGAACGTTGCTTCTGTACAAAATGACAGCCACATTTCATGTCATTTCATGTGAACGTTGCTCCTGTACAAAATGACAGCCACATTTCATGTCATTTCATGTGAACGTTGCTCCTGTACAAAATGACAGCCACATTTCATGTCATTTCATGTGAACGTTGCTTCTGTACAAAATGACAGCCACATTTCATGTCATTTCATGTGAACGTTGCTCCTGTACAAAATGACATTCACATTTCATGTCATTTCATGTGAACGTTGCTCCTTTACAAAATGACAGCCACATTTCATGTCATTTCATGTGAACGTTGCTTCAGTACAAAATGACAGCCACATTTCATGTCATTTCATGTGAACGTTGCTTCTGTACAAAATGACAGCCACATTTCATGTCATTTCATGTGAACGTTGCTTCAGTACAAAATGACAGCCACATTTCATGTCATTTCATGTGAACGTTGCTTCTGTACAAAATGACAGCCACATTTCATGTCATTTCATGTGAACGTTGCTTCTGTACAAAATGACATCCAAATTTCATGTCATTTCATGTGAACGTTGCTCCTGTACAAAATGACAGCCACATTTTTATGTGATTTCATATTTATTCCTATTTATATATCAAGAACTTTTGTATACAAGTTAAAAAAAAAAGAAAAGAAAACCACACATTTGAACACATAAGACAGACACGCTTTGTTTTTACTGAATGAAATACACTTGATTTATTTTGGTTTAAATTTAACAAATGATAACAAGGACGCTGTGTGTGTGTGTATGGGGGGGGGGGGGGCAGTTTGATGCTGGTGAGATAAATGCACAGCACGGTCAAACTGACCAATACGATTTCACCAGGCCAATGAGCTGGACCATTTGGTTCAGGTTCACCAATTACTTTTGTGCTATGCAAATCTTTATTATGTCCCTCACTTCCCATTACTTATAAAAATAATTAACGTTTAACCAACTGGAATAGTAGGCTTTAGGTGGAGATTATTGAGAAAAAATTAACGTTTAACCAACTCGAATGATAGGTTTCAGGTGGAGATTATTGAGAAAAAATTAACGTTTAACCAACTCGAATGGTAGGTTTTAGGTGGAGATTATTGAGAAAAAATTAACGTTTAACCAACTCGAATGATAGGTTTCAGGTGGAGATTATTGAGAAAAAATTAACGTTTAACCAACTCGAATGGTAAGTTAATATCAGTCGTTAAAAGTATCAACTGACAATTGAAGTAGCACTGTGAGATGTAATTTGAGGTTAGAAAAAAACTCTTTTTATACGTTTTTAGTTTCTTCTCAGCGCTTGTTTGTCTGTACTAATATACAAAGTGAAGCAGGTACTAATGTGTATAGTGAAGTGAAATACAGCAGAAATGTTTTTTTTTAATTTTCAAATAGTTTAAATATTTACAAGAAAACGTTTTTTAAGCTTTAAGCTAGTTAAACGGTTGTGTTATAAAAATCATAAATTGTTAAGACCAATGCTATTACAATTTCCTTACTGAAACATCATTTTTTTAAGTTAAAAAGATAGCATGGCGTAGGTGTTATAATGATCATCAGTTTGATTTCTATTTGTCTCAGGTTGAGGTGTCTGAAGATTTATTTTGTCACGGTCGGTTGGTTGCGTCGTCTGATCATGTTGGTCTCATCCAAGCTACAACACAACAACCGATCCTGCCGCCTGCATCTCCAGTTGTTCTACTCGCCTCACTGTGGCCAAGGCCAAGGTCATCTTCTTTGGCGTGGATCTTCGTACAAAGAAAAAAAAAGATTTTGGCAGTGGCAAAAAGTCGCAAACGGACAAATCAAAGCAAATATATCGCAGTACACGTGTGGTAAAGTTATGATTTTATTAAAATAAAATGTATTGTTACTCTGCTTAAAAAAACTACATTAAAAAATGCAATTGTCCGTTGTTTTTGACAAAATTTTTAAATTTGAAATGTGCCTATCAAGTCTAATCATAAAAATCATTACAGTAACTTACCACAATACCCAATCCAATAATTGAGTTGTCCCCCTTAGCTGGTACATAACTTACCACAATACCCAGTCCAATAATTGAGTTGTCCCCCTTAGCTAGTACATAACTTACCACAATACCTAATCCAATAATTGAGTTGTCCCCCTTAGCTGGTAAATAACTTACCACAATACCTAATCCAATAATTGAGTTGTCCCCCTTAGCTGGTAAATAACTTACCATAATACCTAATCCAATAATTGAGTTGTCCCCCTTAGCTGGTAAATAACTTACCACAATACCTAGTCCAATAATTGAGTTGTCCCCCTTAGCTGGTAAATAACTTACCACAATGCCGCGTCCAATAATTGAGTTGTCCCCCTTAGCTAGTACATAACTTACCACAATACCCAGTCCAATAATTGAGTTGTCCCCCTTAGCTGGTAAATAACTTACCACAATACCCAATCCAATAATTGAGTTGTCCCCCTTAGCTGGTAAATAACTTACCATAATGCCGCGTCCAATAATTGAGTTGTCCCCCTTAGCTGGTACATAACTTACCACAATACCCAGTCCAATAATTCAGTTGTCCCCCTTAGCTAGTACATAAGTTACCACTATTCCCAATCCAATAATTGAGTTGTCCCCCTTAGCTGGTACATAACTTACCACAATGCCGCGTCCAATAATTGAGTTGTCCCCTTAGCTGGTACATAACTTACCACAATACCCAATCCAATAATTGAGTTGTCCCCCTTAGCTGGTAAATAACTTACCACAATGCCGCGTCCAATAATTGAGTTGTCCCCCTTAGCTGGTACATAACTTACCACAATACCCAGTCCAATAATTGAGTTGTCCCCCTTAGCTAGTACATAAGTTACCACTATTCCCAATCCAATAATTGAGTTGTCCCCCTTAGCTGGTAAATAACTTACCACAATACCCAGTCCAATAATTGAGTTGTCCCCCTTAGCTAGTACATAAGTTACCACTATTCCCAATCCAATAATTGAGTTGTCCCCCTTAGCTGGTACATAACTTACCACAATACCCAATCCAATAATTGAGTTGTCCCCCTTAGCTGGTAAATAACTTACCACAATGCCGCGTCCAATAATTGAGTTGTCCCCCTTAGCTAGTACATAACTTACCACAATGCCGCGTCCAATAATTGAGTTGTCCCCCTTAGCTGGTAAATAACTTACCACAATACCCAGTCCAATAATTGAGTTGTCCCCCTTAGCTGGTACATAACTTACCACAATACCCAATCCAATAATTGAGTTGTCCCCCTTAGCTGGTAAATAACTTACCACAATGCCGCGTCCAATAATTGAGTTGTCCCCCTTAGCTAGTACATAACTTACCACAATGCCGCGTCCAATAATTGAGTTGTCCCCCTTAGCTGGTAAATAACTTACCACAATGCCGCGTCCAATAATTGAGTTGTCCCCCTTAGCTGGTAAATAACTTACCACAATACCTAATCCAATAATTGAGTTGTCCCCCTTAGCTGGTACATAACTTACCACAATACCCAGTCCAATAATTCAGTTGTCCCCCTTAGCTAGTACATAAGTTACCACTATTCCCAATCCAATAATTGAGTTGTCCCCCTTAGCTGGTACATAACTTACCACAATGCCGCGTCCAATAATTCAGTTGTCCCCCTTAGCTAGTACATAAGTTACCACTATTCCCAATCCAATAATTGAGTTGTCCCCCTTAGCTGGTACATAACTTACCACAATGCCACGTCCAATAATTGAGTTGTCCCCCTTAGCTAGTACATAACTTACCACAATACCCAGTCCAATAATTGAGTTGTCCCCCTTAGCTGGTAAATAACTTACCACAATACCTAATCCAATAATTGAGTTGTCCCCCTTAGCTGGTAAATAACTTACCACAATGCCGCGTCCAATAATTGAGTTGTCCCCCTTAGCTAGTACATAACTTACCACAATGCCGCGTCCAATAATTGAGTTGTCCCCCTTAGCTAGTACATAACTTACCACAATGCCGCGTCCAATAATTGAGTTGTCCCCCTTAGCTAGTACATAACTTACCACAATGCCGCGTCCAATAATTGAGTTGTCACCAAACAAAGAAGCTGCCGCAACAGTAAACGTGCTGTTGACATCTCCATTTTTGTTCACCTCAATATTGCCCCAATCACCGACGTGTCTAGAAAATAAATAAAATAGTTGTCTAATTAGTACAACAGTGCGATATTCAAATTAAAAGTTACCTTACCAATGCTAATGACTACCACACTTGCCCCAAGTTACCTTAACTACGACAGCAACTAACACACTTACCCCAAGTTACCTTAACTACGACATCAACTACCACACTTACCCCAAGTTTTCTTAACTAAGCCAGCAGCTACCACACTTACCTCAAGTTACCTTTACTACGACAACAACTACCACACTTGCCCCAAGTTACCTTAACTACGACAGTAACTAACACACTTACCCCAAGTTACCTTAACTACGACAACAACCACCACACTTACCCATGCTCCTCACCATTACGACCTCCATGAGAATGTCCAAAAGGATTAAAATGTCCACCAAAAGACGCACAGCCCTGGCTAAAATCTCCAAACTCGTGCACGTGAATGCCGTGTTTTTGTGTCAAGGTTAGCCCTTCATTGTTCCGTCCATCTGACAGAGTTTGGTTATCCAAAGTTTTGTTCTGCTCGGCCACAGGGAAACCTTTGATGTTCACCACCACCTCCATGTTCTGTCCTGGCTAGTACAACAGAATGTTGACTTACTCCAGATATTTGTTCATAGTTTCATACAAATTTAAAAAAAGAAACAGCACAAACTCATCCGTTCTAAAGTAATGAAATACAGCGTGACTACATATAGACACAAAGAAATAAGACTGTTCTAAACGGAGTGAAGGTGTGTTGCGTTTGTTTCACTGAAGAGATACTTAGCTATTTGTTCTTCATCAACTAAATTAATGACCGATTTCATTGTTTGTAATGAAGAAATAAAACTTACTTGTTGACGTAAAAATATTGAGCCGGTTAAGTTAAAGTTTGGGCTTGTTCTGACGTCACATCTTGCGAACAGTGGCTTTTCTTAGAGATAAGCGGGAAACACTCCATTAAACCACAACATTGCAGCGAAAGACAAATCATTAGAACCTAACCTAACTAACACAATCTATCCCAAACTTGCCTAAACCTACCCTAACATGAACCAACAATCTACCAACAACCTACCCGTCTGATGATCCTACAACCTACTCATCTAATGAACCTACAACCTACCCATCTGATGAGCCTACAACCTACCCATCTAATGAACCCACAACCTACCGATCTAATGAACCCACAACCTACCCTTCTAATGAACCCACAACCTACTCATCTAATGAACCCACAACCTACCCATTGAATGAGCCTACAACCTACCCATCTGATGAGCCTACAACCTACCCATCTCATGAACCTACAACCTACCCATCTGATGAGCCTACAACCTACTCATCTAATGAACCCACAACCTACCCATTGAATGAGCCTACAACCTACCCATCTGATGAGCCTACAACCTACCCATCTGATGAACCTACAACCTACCCATCTGATGAGGCTACAACCTACCCATCTGATGAACCAACCTACCCATCTGATGAGCCTACAACTTACTCATCTGATGAACCAACCTACCCGTCTGATGAACCTACAACCTACCCATCTGATGAGGCTACAACCTACCCATCTGATGAACCAACCTACCCGTCTGGTGAACCAACCTACCCATCTGATGAACCTACAACCTACCCGTCTATTGAACCTACAACCTACCCATCTGATGAACCTACAACCTACTCATCTAATGAACCTACAACCTACCCATCTGATGAACCAACCTACCCATCTGATGAATGTGCGTCTCGTTAGATTTCACGAAGTTCTCAACCTGTTGATTAGGCTGTGGGCGTGGCTCAACGTGGATGTGGATATGTACATGTGTCCCCGATTGATGACCAAGTTTGGAGAGGTCAAGGCCACTGAAATGTTTGTGGCTATGACGTGTATGGTCATGTTTGTGGCTATGACGTGTATGGTCATGTTTGTGGCTATGACGTGTATGGTCATGTTTGTGACTATGACGTGTATGGTCATGTTTGTGACTGTGACGTATATGGTCATGTTTGTGACTATGACGTGTATGGTTGTGATCTGAATGGTTGTGCTTTGAATGGTGTATGTGGTCGTGCATGGAATGGTCGTGATGGGAATGCTTGTGGTGTGTATGTTCGTGTGTGCTGCTGTTATGATGATGTGTATGATGACTATGGTGTCTATGACGGCCATGCTGGAGTCGGGTACTGTGGATCTTGCTGCCCTCATGACCGTGTCTATACTTCCCGTCTTCAGCAGGCCTGTCCATGTCTTTGTTCTTCCTACCATCACCATCTTTAGGCTTCCTTGGATCTCCTTTCATCATTTCCTCTCCTGAAAAAGAAACAAATTGTGGTATCAATACCTCAAGCGCCATACCCGAGAAACGTGTAGGCACACGACGCGATGGATTTAACAGAATCCTTTAAGGCACATTAAGTAACAAAACATTTACATTAATACCCACCAAATAAATTCCTTATATTTGGGAGCGTCAATATTACAGGTCATATCTGAGTTTAATATGCATATAACGAACATTAATATTGAAATAATATATCTAAGCGAACTTAAAGATAGCACACTGTAGCATAATGCTATTGTATATATGTGGTGGGGGTACCAAACACGATATTTCTCCAAGAGATAACAGAGTTGCCACGATATGCTGCGATAGGAAATATGGGAGCTTCTCTAGGGCGACATTTTGTAGCCCATGGTAGATAGACGCCAGTGATGTTCATGTCATGTAGGCTTATGTGTAGGCCCTGCCGGGGGTTGGGATGTAAAAACCTAAATCTAAATCTAGGGCTACCAACCATCGGACGTCAGTGCTACCCTGGCTAAACCCTAGGTGGTTAGGCCCTAGGTGGTTAGGCCCTAGGTGGTTAGGCCCTAGGTGGTTAGGCCCTAGGTGGTTAGGCCCTAGGTGGTTAGGCCCTAGGTGGTTAGGCCCTAACTTTAATCTGTATTTTTAAAAAAACTTGATAAACTAAACGTAAATTATATTATTGAAAAATGGAACAAAAATCTTAAAAAACAAAACAGAACACATTTCAAATGATAAACTTTAACTCCAGCAATTATGTAGAAAACTTTTTAGCAGCCGTTAATAAATGACACCAGGCTTTTCTTAAGAGTAAGAACTTAACTTAACGTCCTTGATTATACATTTTTTTAAACGGGTTTTCTTCATATTATGTCCTATTTGACGCAAAGTTTGTCAGACGACAGCAGGAAAAATAATTTGTTTGGTCTTTAGTTCTCTAGGTCAGTTACAACGCTCTGGCCACGTCTAGCCCTCTTCACACACTCCCGCCTTATATATATATATATATATATATATATATATATATATATATATAATTTCTCGAATATTCTTATACAACAGTAAAAGGGCGCGCTTCCCGTGCAATCGGGTTATAGAAATGTTTTCATTTTTAATATTTTTAATACTTAAAAATAAAGCGGGAGTGATCTCCCTTAAACTTTCTCGAATATACTAATATAAGACTACGTGGGATGGTAACTCGGGATATAGATATGATTTTTAATCAAATTTTAATTACTTGAACTTTTTAAAATATAATTGAATATGTTATAAAAAGGAATTGAAAATCAGGTTAACAGCAAAGAATGTGTGTATAATAATGCGGAATATTAGTACTTTATAAATTCACGAGCCGACCCGCTGCGTATCATACGCCGCTATTTAGTTGTTTTTTTTCTCTACTTTTCAGTAATTTATAATTTGTGAATTCGATAGTACCAATGCTGCCATTGAAAATATTTGCTTAAAAATACTACCCCCCCCCCCCCCCCCACGTGAAAGCAGCCTCCTCTTAGTTACCTCCTCTAAGTTTAAAATCGTTTCAAACTAAATTATCTGCCCCTAATAGCCGTCACCAAACCCGTCTCTGTGATTGTAAAATGTAAACAGAGTGAACACCGCTCACCAGATCATGTGGGGATGGGGTGGGGGTGGTAGTGATAGAGAGGAAGAGAGGGGACTGCAAAGGCGCGCTTGCAGCTTGTTTTCTAACTGATCCCAGAAGAGAATTATATATATAGATAGATATGCGTATTTTTGAGATATCGGAAATAGCGCAAAATACCAATTCCGGTTAAAGGAAATTACTCAAAATTTAGCAGAAGACAGAGAATTAGATCTTTTACTTACATGTGAAATTTAATTTATCTATCTGAAACAGTACTCAAATTATACGCTTTTGAAAAACCAAAAGTAGAATAAGTTCCACTTTCGTTTAACGGAAATTGTTGAAAAGTTGAAACAGAACTACAATTTTGATATAATACTTAGACATATATATGAAATTTCATCAACCTAGCTGTAAAGGTACTCAAGTTATCGTGTTCACAGACACACACAGACACACACACACAAACACACGCACACACACACACAATTCGTTCACCTAATTTAAACGGTGCTTTAGTTATTGGCCTTTGACTAATCGGAAGTAGATTGTGTACCACTACCATTTACCGGAAATCGCTCAAATTTGATAGAAAACTAATACTTATACATGAAATTTCGTCAACCTAACTGACACGGTACAAAAGTTTTCGCGTTGACGTACATATAGACGGACAGGCAGAAAAATAAATAAAAATCTAATGTGAAAATACGTTTTAGATTTGTAACCAGGAAAAGTTGATACTCCAACACTTATTATTGTTTTAAAACGGGTACTGCGTGAAAGGCGTATGCGTGAGAACCCAAAAGGAAGCTACCTCAAGAGTTCTTGTTCTTGCTAAAGTTGGACGGAACCTGATGATTAGAATCTAGAGACAGGTTGCTTGAAACTTAACAATAGATGGCCGGGGTGGATAGGTGCAACAACAGGTCGGCCAACGATTTGAAACTTGCTGGGGTCGAGTTCTAATTGATGAAATCCAGAAGGTCTTATCGGGTTAACTAGATGCAAGACAATTTACACGGAGCATACGTCAACTGAGAATAGAGGTTTATGTATAGATTTAGTGGACGTAACTGATAATGTTCACCATCACTTGAGAATCGTGTATAAGTTATTTTTTTTTTATTGTGCGTACATTAAACCAGACGCTAGTGAGAAAGTGAGAGAGAGAGGGGGAGATAGAGAGAGAGCAGGAGAGAGAGATAGAGAAAGATACTATTTTAGACAACCCCATCTACATCACACCTATAAATTTATCGAAATTAAAAAAACCACTACCCCCCCTTCCCAGAAGTTTTAAATGCAAACTGTCTGTAAGAAACCATGAGCAAGCCTATCCAGTCTTTATTAAGATAGCGTACATTGGTCAATTTTTAAAATTAATTTACAAAACAACGCCATCTTTTTAATGCGAATCAACTGCCAAACTTCTGTTAAAATTTTTTTTTAAAGTGGTAAGTGCGCCATAACTTGTACCATTTGAATGTGCTACACACTAGAATAGAATTACCTTTGCATTCAGAGTGACATTTATGCTGGTGGTCAACTTGGATGTGCCCATCTTCATTGTGGACGTGAAGGTTTATGGGCTGTTTAATAGCTTGAATGTAGCCCCACATCGCTGAGACGTCCTTCGCTAAAAGTTCCATCTTATCTTAAAGAAAACTACTCACGTTAGATTCTTTCTTTCCAAATATAAACATTCATAATTTTTAATCTATTTATTATATGAGGGTTTTCCCAGTGCGGCTTCGATTAAAAAAAAACATTTTAAAATCTAGTCAATAACCATAGGGTATCAAAAGAGAATGAATATGTAAAACAGGTTAGGAAAAAAAAATTGCGTTATTTACCTTTGGCGTTGGGAGCACAAACTGCTTCCTGTCCTGTCTTGTTCTCAGACGTACCATCAAATGAAATGGACATATTATGTAACATGCTCTTGTGGTCGGTAACATTACCATCAGATGTTGTATTAACTGTTGTCAATGTAACAGTGGCATTGCCTTCAGATAACGTAGTAACGGTGCTATTACCATCAGATATCTGAGTTACAGTGCTATTGCCTTTAGGTACTGGAGTTACCGTGTCATTACTGCTGACCCCTTGTGGAGTTGCTGTTGTTAAAATGACACTTTGTTTAAGTTTTGCGTCGTTTTTATCTTTTTCCTTCTTTACCTTCGCTGGTTTGAAGTTTTCGTCTTTTGATTCGTCACTCGAATCCTTGTCTTTGACTGGCGCCTGGGTGGAAGTCACTTTATGTTTCGGTGGTTTGGCGTTTTTTTTGGGAATGACCTTTTGTGGCTTGACCTTGTCATCAGCATCAATAGCTAGCAACACCACCATCACCAGCAGTAAAATACTGCACAGCTTCATGGCGGATAAGATCGAAACAGGTTGTCACGTACTCGTAGACTAGAGACCAAGAATTAGCAAACACAGTACAAACTTTGGTCATGTTCTGGCAGCCAGCAGGTCGCATTGGTTTTTATAGTCCGTCTAAAGGTCGTATCAACTGGCGCTAGCGGGCACATAGGATAAGATGGATCAGATGGTTGCTTATCTCATCGCAAGCTGACCTCAAGTAAAAAACGTTATTTTGTCCGCCAGCTTCAAGGAAATACAATCTTACAATGTACAGCGTACATTTGATACACCTCACATCTTACAGTGTAAAACTTACATTTGATACACCTCACATCTTAAAGCGTACATTTGATACACCTCACATCTTACATTGTACAGCTTACATTTGATACACCTCAAAACTTACAGTGTACAGCTTACATTTGATAACATCACATCTTACAATGTACAGCTCACATTTTTTACACCTTACAGCTTTTGTATGAAAGGTAGAAGCGTTTTGTTTCATAAACCTAGCTTTTGTATGAAATGAGGAAGCATGTTTCATAAACCTAGCTTTTGTATGAAATGGAGAAGCATTTTGTTTCAAAACCTAGCTTTTGAATGAAATGGAGAAGCATTTTGTTTCACAAACCTAGCTTTTATATAAAATGTAGAAGCATGTTTCATAAACCTAGCTTTTGTATGAAATGGAGAAGCATTTTGTTTCAAAACCTAGCTTTTGTATGAAATGGAGAAACATTTTGTTTCATAAACCTAGCTTTTGTATGAAATGGAGAAGCATTTTGTTTCATAAACCTAGCTTTTGTATGAAATGTAGAAGCATTTTGTATGAAATTTATTGTGGCATTGTAAGTCTAAAACGCTAACTGTGATGCGTTTACAAGAATACACGTAGGGGAACTGAAATATGCGCCACTATGCTCTCAGTCATAAATTGTCATACACAATCAACACGCATGCACTTTTTTTTTCTGCCTCTATAACCGAACTTTACTGTTGATGCCGATATAAGGTAATGGTCTCTCGTTGATAGCCCGCCATTAAAGTCGTTATAAGAAACGCATTTAACCCCAACTACCCACGTGAGAAAAACAAAAGATTGCACATCTTCGTATGCCTAACTAAATTTATCTAAATTGGTCCGTCGCACTGAGTCTGCTTATCTGCCTTAACTCCTCAAATTACAACAAATACCATTTGCGCAGAAGTAAATCAGTTTTACCATTTGAGTCTACGTCTTTGAAAACGTAAGACAGACCACCGATGTTACACCACTAAGATACAGACCACCGATGTTACACCACTAAAATACTGACCATTAATGTTACACCACTAACATATAGACCACTGATGTTACACCACTAAGATACAGACCACTAATGTTACACCACTAAGATACAGACCATTAATGTTACACCACTAACATATAGACCACTGATGTTACACCACTAAGATACAGACCACTAATGTTACACCACTAAGATACAGACCATTAATGTTACACCACTAACATATAGACCACTGATGTTACACCACTAAGATACAGACCACTAATGTTACACCACTAAGATACAGACCACTAATGTTACACCACTGAAATACAGACCACTGATGTTACACCACTAAGATACAGACCACTAATGTTACACCACTAACATATAGACCACTAATGTTACACCACTAAGATACAGACCACTAATGTTACACCACTAAGATACAGACCACTGATGTTACACCACTAACATACAGACCACTGATGTTACACCACTAAGATACAGACCACCGATCATAATATCATTTATCCCAGTCCATGTCTAAGACACAAGGGGAAGATGACTTTCATCTGTTTCAACGACCATGCATGCAGGGGGATATGTCCAGCCGCCTTGGTTATCCCTTGCTCTAACTTCTAACTAGGTACAAAGTTACGTGAGTCAGGTACCATTAGATGCTACATCACAAAGTTACCTGAGTCAGGTACCATTAGATGCTACATCACAAAGTTACCTGAGTCGCGTACCATTAGATGCTACATCACAAAGTTACCTGAGTCAGGTACCATTAGATGCTACATCACAAAGTTACCTGAGTCAGGTACCATTAGATGCTACATCACAAAGTTACCTGAGTCACGTACCATTAGATGCTACATCACTAAATTATGTGAGTCAGGTAGGGGGGTCATCCATAAATGACGTCACGCTTTTTTGACGATTTCCCCCCCCCCCCCCTTTCCCCCCCGTCACACGTCGTCACAAAAAGCCAGACCCCCCCCCCTAAAATGACGTCACACCTCAGCCTGCAACCCTCCCTCAAAATTGCAGTTGAATTTTTTTTAAAACATCGATATTTTTTTTTTAAATCTTGTCTGAAATCTGTCAAAATAGAGTATTTTAATCAATTCCTATTACAATTTATTAAAACAGTTATCTAAAACGAGAAATAATGTCTAAAATTCGTTTTCTAACATTTCTTTTTTATAATGCAAAAGTGTGACGTCGCACCATCTGAACCCCCCCCCCCCCCTCTCCCTCATCACACATCGTCACAAAATTACCGACCCCCCCCCCCCCCCCCCCACCTCCCCCTACGAGTGTGACGTCATTTATGGACGACCCCGTACCATTAGATGGAAAATGTTGACACCCCCCCCCCCCCCCCCCCGCGGAGAAAAAAGTCTGGAAGAAACACTGGAGTCGACTAATGTGCTCAATGGAAAGCTCATGGCAAACAGACGAAGCCAGACAGAAGAAAACATTGTATATACCTATTCTATTTCGTTCATGGGGAGGGGATGGGTGTAGATGTGCTTCGGAAGAGATGCCTGAAATCAACTCTCCTTCCCACCCCTCCACATCCGGTGGACTGATATCATTACACTACAACTTTAATATTTTGTTTATGTCGGGTATTGTGGTTATTACGTTTTAAAGCTATTTATGTTGAGGAATGAGAGTAGATAGAGACTTAGGCTTGAGACAATGATCCTGCAGTAGACTAACAATAAGTAAAAAGAAAAAGGCCGGGGAGCCAGATTTAGCACTTTAAAACAGGTTTAGGCTTTTAAATTTTCAAACTTTTTATTTAATAAAATTTGATTTAGATTAAAAAATATATATGTATGATGTAAAAATTAATCAAATAAAGTTATATAAACACCATATTTCTATGTTTATTTTTAATTTTTTTATAATGAGTTTTTTGTCACCAAATACATAGACAAATATTTGGGATATAAAGTTTAGACTATACTCACTAGATTCTATAGCTTTTAAAATACAAAATTATGTTACCAACTTGAATATAACATATTTCAGGATACTATTTACATTCTTGTAAAGTAATAAATATTTTAACCTTTAAAATGAAATAATATCAAATCTATTTATTGTGAGTTCGAAAACTTGGTTTTTAGATTCAGATCGTAGATCTCAATAATCTGGATTCCCCGTTATCGTCCATTTTGGAATTTCCTGTGTGTTTTTGCTACATACCACAGATTTCCTTATTGCTGATTTCATTTTCATTTTTGGAATGGCGGGGTTACCTCGAAGAATAATCAAGGTTTTTCAACTATTAAATCTTTAACTGATACATTTTAAAGAATTCTCAGAGTCTGTTTTATGCAGCAGATAGATCTAGAGGCTACTGCTAATTTCTACTCTAGATCTAGATCTAGATCTAGAATCTAGACTAGATCTAGATTCTAGATCTAGAGACGAGAGAGCTAGATTTCTAGATCTAGAAATCTAGATTGAGTAGATTCCAGATTCTTCAACTGAACTCAACAAAATATTTTCAAGTTCTCTGAATTTGCAACTTTTATAGCATTGATTCTAAAAAATTAAAAAATAGGCCTATAGCCTAGGTCTAAAATTTCTGAATTAGGCCTAATTTTAATTTTAGGCATCAGTTTTTATTTTGGTAATCTATCGTTTTAGGTACGTAAAATCACCCGCGACTTGTAATGTGAAAAACAGGTGACTCCTTAAATTTTAATAATTATTTCACATTTTGAGGAGGATTTATGTTTTTTAAAATATAAAAATGTTTCCTTGTTTCATTTATGTAGGCCTACCTGTTTTTAAACAATTGAATTAAAACTTTTCCGTAATAAATGAAGACTAGCGATGTTTCCAACAGATGCAACCATGCTCATTTACTATAGCAGCCATCTTGCCTAAGTTTTATTTTTATAAGCTTACGAGCCGGCCCGCGGCATAACATACGCCGCTATTTAGGCCTAGTTGTTTTTTCTACTTTTCAGTAATTCATAATTTGTGAATTCGACAGTACCAACGCTGCCACTGAAAATATTTAAAACACTATAAATAGCTCGTTAAGGGCCATAACCCCCTCCCCCCCTACGTTTAAAAACGTTTCAAACTAAATTATCTGCCCCTAATAGTCGTCACTAAACCTGGCTCTGCTTGTAAACATTTAGAGTGAACACAGCTCACTAAGACCATGTAGGGGTGGGAGTGGTAGGGAGCGCGATTTACAGCTTGTTTTCTAGCGGCTCCCAGAAGAGAATTATATATATAGATAGCGCCAGATTCAGGGGTAAGCCACTCTATTTTACAAATGGCTGCTGTTTATATAGCAAATCTTGCTCTCAGACACTGCTGTTTAAAGTTAATTTCTGGCCTATAGGCCTATCGATATATTTAGCCATTGATTTAGGTTTATAGGCCTAATTCATTTATCTATAATATTTGACACAAACATATGACAATACACCTCTATTAAAGCCTTGACAATGAGCTAACGTTTTCGTACATTAAGGGCTGCGGGCGATTTTACGTACCCAAAACGATAGATTACCTTTATTTTTTTTTTATTCGGTTGCTTTAGGCCTAGGCCTACTTTGTTTGATAAATCTAAAAAAGCACGTTTTTATTCCATGTCAACATGATGGAAGAATTCTCGTCAATTCGCTCGCCTCCGTTAGTTATGTAGAAATCTAGAATCTAGAGTCACTAGCTAGAGAGAAGATCTAGAAGCTTTACTTTGTGTGAAGTCAAAAAAATCGGAGTTATGTTCTCCAGCTATGGGGCTGACTTGAGAATCTAGATTAGAATTATGAACAAAACTTCTACTTTTTTAAGACTATTAAAAGCTTGGCTAAACCTGGAAAAAAAAATAAAGTATCACAAGCGATCACACATAGATTTAGTCACATATGACATAGCAAAAAAAATTCGAACTCCCGATTTTCATTGGGCACTATTTTGTTACCGTTTCACATAAAAACAAACCGAAAGTACTGTGTTACTCTGCTGCCATTCTACTCTAATATGTAGGCCCTAAGGGTCATTTTGTATTCCTATGCATAGATTTTAGATATTCTTGTCTAAGTGACGATCCTCCTTGCAACAATTTTTTTCCCCTTATTTTTTGATTGAAGTGTCTATTCCCAGTCGACTGTGAATAGCCATATTAGGGCATGCGTAAAGCAGGTATCAGTAGTTTCTATAAAACATCCAAACAATTATTATACGAAGCGAAAAACAGGAGGGTGGCAGCAGCAGTGGTTTGACAGCATGCGACACTTTACTCTAGATCTAATAGGTCCAGATTCTATAGGCTTTTTGATTAACCGCCATCTTGCCATCCAAGCTACATGAGATATGGCATTTTCTGTGAAGTGTTGTGGATCTACGCAATTTAATAGCCTAATGGTTGCTGAGTTAGAATTTACATGACGACCTATAGGCCCTAGGCATGAAATAATAAATAAAAATGTGCACATTTGATATTACTGTTTATTAAATTGGCAAGATCTAAGCTTATTAAATAGTTTTCTATGGATTAAATAAAATTTAAAGCAGTAAAACTTTATTAATAGGCCGCAGTTATTAATAATCTTATTATTTATATTCAATAGGGTAAATAATAGGCCTAAATAAAATAAATAGCCAAGGCTCATAGAAAGAATAGATCTAGGTATTTCTCCACTAATTCCATTTAAATTAGAAACATTAATTAACCTAATATTAGGCTAAATAATGGTAATTAAATATTAGTAGCCTGTAATCAATGAGTAATTGTTAATAAAAATTTAATAGGTCTAGAACTAGGCCTAATATTTATTATGAGCCGACCCACGGCATATCATATGCCGCTATTTAGTTGTTTTATTTTCTACTTTTCAGTAATTCATAATTTGTGAATTCGACAGTACCAATGCTGCCACTGAAAATATTTGCTTTAAAACACTATCAGTAGGTCGTTAAGGACGATACTACCCCTCCTCCCCCCCCCACCACCCAGTGAAAGCAGCCTCCTCTTAGTTACCTCCCCTAAGTTTAAAATAGTTTCAAATTAAATTATCTGCCCCTAATAGCCGTCACTAAACCTGGCTCCACGAATGTAAACATTTATTTAGCGTGAACCACAGCTCACCAGACCATGTAGGGGTGGGGGCGGTAGGGAGCGCGCTTACAGCTTGTTTTCTAGCGTCTCCCAGAAGAGAATTATATATATATAGATAATTTATTGCATCGAGCTTAGATATTTATGTTGTAAAATGACTTATGGGTTGTAAACTTAAATTTCACCGTTTGAGGAATAACGATTAAGAAAATAAATATGGGCATTTCTTTCTTATAGAATAGGCCTATTATCTTTAAAATTAAATATTAGTTAGCGGAGTTAGCGTAAAGGATATGACTATAGAGACAATGGAAAATAAAGTCAAAGAACAAAAACAGAAATATTAACATTTTGAACAATGTCATTAAAGCAATAGTAATAAATTTTTTTTAAAGTCAAAAAAGAAAACAGAAAGAGTAACATTGTGACTTTCAATTTTACTTAAAAATAAATTAAACTAAGCAACTGTAATATATTTTTAAACAGTAGTAGGTTCAGATCAGCAAATAAGGCACAGTCAGTTGAGTCAGCTGTATATACTTTGGTTGTGGCACATCTTGTGTAGTTTCTGTAGGCTATTTATTAATTAGCCATCCTTGGCTACTTATTAAAAGTAGCCTATAACAAATGCTACTAATATTTAGATACTTCAACATAATCTTAACCATATCGTATACCAGTACTAGTATATAAAACAGGTACTATTCATACACAATTTCAGTGCCACCACCTTTAATTAGACTTCATTATTTGTGATTGTCTTTTACTTCTAGCATGTATTTGACTAGTAAATTTCTATTCCCAACATCCTTAAGCATCTGTGTGCTAAGTTTTATCTTTAAATCATCAATAACAACATAGAGATGCAGATTGAAAAGTGGCAATCATTGTAGAACAGTACCACGCGCCTTGCTTGGGCTTAATTAAGTTAATTTTTGTTTCCTTTTATTGATCTTTATTTCACTTGCATATTCCTATTGTCTACACCAGGGGTCTCCAAACTACGGCCCGCTGGCCGGATGCGGCCCGCGAGGTCCTCTCATCCGGCCCTATTTATTAATAGGCCTCCTTACTACTTAGATTAAGTATTAAGACAGCCTACCTACTAGATTGAGTGGGTTTTGATTGCAAAATGGCGAGATATAAATGCTGAATTACAAGAAAATCATCGACAATTTTGGACTACATCAACAATACAAATTTAAATAGTGTTAAAAAATTAGTCTGCATCAAAATTCATATATATCATCGACAGGTTGGAATTAGATTGCGATAACATTTTTGCAGATATCAAAGCAATTTACTTCACCCAGACCAAACCTACCAATCAGATGGGGGTAAATATGAGTAAGAAATGTCATGTGAAAGGACCTTTTTGCGTCTCTCATTCTCCCAAGACCCAGATAGAGTACTATTTTACTGCTATCCTTTTGACTTATTAAAATATAATAGGCAATGGAAAGTAAAACAGTAGGTTCACATCAGCATATAAGGTAGCTGTCTATCAACTATCATTAAGTTGCAGCACATCTCATCTAGCTTTCAGTAGGATATTTATTGATAAGTTATTATTTATGTGGTCTTCATTAAATTCAGAGGGAATTAATAAAAAGGAGAAAATAAATATTATAAAACTATGCTTTTGAATGCACTTGAAATAAAAAAAATAAAATAGACCTAAATAAAACTTGCTTTCTATATTGAAAGCTTTAATCGCTCGTAAAATATTTTATTCGGAGACCAATGCTTTTATTAAAGAAAGCAAGTTTTATTTATTCATTTCATTTTCAGTGCATTTAAAAGCTTATTATTAAAATGTTTTTTATGCTTATTTTTTTATCTAAAATGTATAAGTGCAGGAATGTCTAGAATCAAAAATGAAAACTTAATGTACAGATTGCTTTCTAAGAATGAAACAACTGCATTTTAAAACAAATTTTGCATATTTATATAGGAAACCCAACGCCTTATGGCTGAGCCTGTTGCTGGAATTACAGCTATCCCAGATGAACAGAATGCTAGGTATTTTCATGTAGTGGTTGCTGGACCATCTCAGGTAACAGATTTTTTGTGTTAATCAATTGAATTTTTAAATTTAATTTGTTTAAAAAAACATTTCATAATATTAAATTTGGTCACTGCTCAGTTTATATTGCATGGCCAGGACAAGGTTGTTGAGTAGGGGGTGTTCTATTGACATTTTCAAATCTAATCATTTTACTATTCCTGTTCCCCTTACAAATACTAAGCATACTGCTCATTATTTGCTGATCCCATGGAATATGTTTGTGTTTTTACATCTGTATCAATATTTCTTTACAGTCACCATATGAAGGTGGTTTATTCAAATTGGAGCTCTTTCTTCCTGAAGAATATCCCATGTCAGCACCAAAAGTCCGATTTATGACAAAAATTTATCACCCAAATATTGACAAATTAGGAAGAATATGTCTAGATATACTTAAAGGTATAAGCTTGTCGCAATTTGTTTAGTTTTTTAGATTAAAAGATAAGTGTTTACATTTGCATATTTTCTTCACCAAGACTTTTTGTATCCTTGCTTTGGGGTCAAATACGTTAATAAGAAATATAACTTTTCTACAATTTTCACTTGATGCACATGTTTCCTTTTTTAGATAAATGGAGTCCAGCATTGCAAATCCGAACAGTTCTACTTTCCATTCAGGCTTTATTGAGTGCTCCTAATCCAGATGATCCTTTAGATAATAGTGTGGCTGAGCATTGGAAAACAAATGAAAAGAGTGCTATTGACCAAGGTACATAACTAATGTTACATTAATCGTTTTTATATAATTTTTTAGGTTGATTATCTGTATAAAAATCATCAGCAAATTGAATGAAATTATGAATCTTGAAATTGTCAATAATAGAAAAATTAACTTTACTGAAACAGAACCCATACTCATAGTAAGAACAAAATCTATTGATAAAACTTTTTATGTCAAGTGTGTCACAACGCTCACTTACAATTATTGGGCACCTTTGTTTTTAAGTCATTATCAGTTATTGCTGTGTTATTATTACTACTATTGCTTGCGGTAATATGAAATAAAAACATTTCTTACACTGCCTTGAAATTCATGGAATTTCGATTCATTCTAATAATCTAATGTTTAAAGGAAATTCTTTGCTAAAAAATTGTTTTCTAATGCCCATCTTTTTTGTGAAAAGTTCAGAAAGTATTCCAGCTGATTATCAAGATTTTCACCTTCTCCATGTCAGCTGATTTGAAATGGAAATCTGTTATTTGCTATTGCTAATTATCTGTGATGATTATGCAGCACTGGTCCACAAAATCCAAAACTATATAGATTGTAATTTTAACATGGTCATTCCTAAATGAAAAAGCCTAGCTACATCATCCTATACATCTGGAGGCATTAATGACATAATTGAAAGGTGGCTATTAAGGTATAATAGTAGCATTCGATTAATAAAATAATAAGAAACATATCAGGGCCAAACAGTTTTTAACTTCAATTGCAATTGTTCTAAAATATCTATTATGAAATGTCTAATTTTCACCTGAAAATAAAATGTTTGGAAATACCTTGGATTTCCTAGAAAATTGTAGAGGGTCCCTCACCCTTTTTAAAAAAAAAAATATTCAAGGGACATAACCAAAAGAACTTCTGATCAAATCATTTCAATTTCTTTTTACTTTCTTGTATATACGAAGTATAGAGAAAGTCTTGTAATCGTGCAAAAAAAAAAAATCGAGATTTTTACAAATCTCCACGTTTTACACCTCACTGATACGGAAAAACATAATTTTGCAATCTTGTCTGTGTGTGTGTGTTTGTAAACACGATAACTTGAGTACCGTTACAGCTAGGTTGATGAAAATATAAGTATTTTATCAAAATCATAGATCCGTATCAACTTTTGAGCGATTTCCGATAACCGGAAGTGGTACTTTTTCTACTTTGAATTTTTCAAAATCCTATAACTTGAGTACTATTTCAGATAGATAAATGAAATTTCATATGTAAGTAAAGTCTGTAAAGGATCTAATTCTCTACCTTCTGTCAAATTTTGAATAATTTCTGTTGAACAGAGTAGTAATTTACGCTACTTCCGATTTCTCAAAAAGCGCATGTAAATTTATAAAGTACTAATAATATTGCGCACTATTATCCACATCTTTATTTGGTGTTCACTTGGTGCACAATTCTTTTTTCTATGAGATTCTATTCTATTTTTAAAAGTTTAAGTAATTAAAAATCATGTCTATATTCCGAGTTGCCATCCCACGTAGTGTTATATAAGAATATTCGAGAAAGTTTAGGGGAGATTACTCCCGGTGTATCTCAAAATGGGAACGTAATATTTTTATGTGTGACGAATATAAAAATTGGCTTTGGAGACATTCAAGTAGTATATGCAACACCCCTTTAGCAGTATTTGTTGTTCAATGATGTCAATTTGGTTGAAAGTTTGGAATAAAATTGTTTGAAAAATCATTGCTACAGTATTCTATTGGCATTCATTTATTCTATTTTTAGCTCGCCAGTGGACTCAGCTGCATGCCAAATCAAGTGGACTCAATAGTCACTGAGAGTGAATCTGTCTTAGTTTTTAACACATTGTTTTTTTCCCCATGTTGTGTTTATACCAAACCTATAAATTTAGACTTGGAAAAACAGTCATTAAAAAATGAAACTTGTATTAGTCTGTATGAATGTGTGATCATTAGTTTTTGTCAAGACTAATTGTAAATTATTTGATAAGCTTTGTATTTGTCACCTCAAAAAAATAAATAACTTTATTTTTATCACTGTTTGAATCTTCTTAGTAACCGTATATTATGTAAACAATTGTATGCTAATTTTCAATTCCTGTTTGTTTGAATATAAAAACAGGATTATTGCTGTTTTTGTACCTAAATTGTCCAATAAGCTAGATTGTAGTTCAGTTTGTCCTCTCACCACTTAGATTTGACTGTTAAAACAGAAACTTGCATATTAACTGGAAAGAGTTGTAAATATGTGAAGTGTTTGTGATTCATCTGTGTATCATTTGAGTGATATCTGTGACAACTTACATTCTTTAAAAAATGTTTGAGTTTAATCACAAACTAGATATTCTCATAACTGTACTGCATTGGAAATATTTTGTATATATATGTTCCAGTTCTCTTACATGTACATTTAGTACAGACCTAACAGTAATGTTTCATTTCAACATTTTTTAAATAGCTTTATTGATATTATAATAAATATTTTTTTTTGCCTGGAAAGATAGCACCAATTTGAATGACATAAATTCATTAGTTTTACTATCATGGTATGATTAAGTTTACTCTTCAACAACACTATTTGTGGAGAACTCTTTTATTTCAAAATTAATTTCACCCTTTATGTTTGTATAGACAAGATTTTTTAAGCAGACAGTTTCATACCATTGATTGTTTTATATAAGAACATTTGAAAAGAGGATGTTTTCTACTAGCAGCAAGTAGGATCAATATGTTTTAATAGCTTTGAAGATTTTGTTAAGCGCTGAGAATTTTTGCCATTAGTTTGTAGGTAAAGCTTAGATATCTAAATTATTTTGATTCAATTGCAAGCATCTTATCTGGTTTTTCCAACTTACTTGGTGGCAAGACTGTTCATAACTACACATCTTTTTTTTTTTTTTAATTCATTGAAAACTTTTTTTAAAATCATAAAAAGTCAACTGAATGGAGTACATTGTTAGTCTAAATATTGGAATGGTGGATCAGTTTTTTTGTTTCAATGCTCATTTTCATACAAAGATATGTTACACTTGTTTGTAATGTATACAAATTAAAAGTAATGCAAATTTTAACAATTTTTGTTAAATTATGGCAGGCAAAAACGTGAGAGGGATTGTCTGTATAATTTTAGTAAATTTTTTTTGGTTTGATTTGTGTGTATATTTCTTCATTTCCAGATTTCATCCTCTGGGTAAATAAAGATTGAGCACATTTTAAGCACTTGTTTTTGTCACAACTCCTCTACAACACCATGACATGTTGTCAGTGGTGGCCTGTAGCCTACATAGTAGCTAAATGCTTGTTTTTACCTCACTAGGTGGCAAAATAGTAGTTTTTACCTGAGATGGATCTTTTGGACTTAACATTTCTTTACTTGCAAATTTGTTTATGTTGTGGTCTGTGAAATGGTCAATTTTATTTTAAAACCCTGTAGATCTAGGTGTTAAATCTTTTTAGTACAAATACAAGTTAGTCAGAAAACTCTCAAGCTGCCATTGTGAATTTTTCATACCCTAACATTGAAAAAAAAAGCATAAAAACGTTTTAATAACAAGCTTTTATGAATAATGCAGTAAAAGGAAAAAACATCAATCATTTTCTATAAATATTTAATAATACTCTACTATTTAAATAACTATAAAGAAAAGCGAGGGTCTCTTTCTAAATATTAGTAAAGGTATCCAATATAGTATAGTACACGGGTTCCCAAACTGGGGGTCGCGAAGGGCTTTCTGGGGGGTCGCCAACTGGTAGACTGAACCTTAGTAATGTAAAACATAAATATTAAGAATATCTGAAATTCGGCTTCACTAACATCACTAGAAATGGAATAAAGAAGAAGCTATGAGTACTGTACAAAGTTGTTCTCAGTCACGAGTTTATGAAATCTTCAAAACTAAAACGTCATTTGAGACGTGTTTTTTCGTCGGCATGAATCTAGTTGCAAACGTCAGAGACTTGATCGAACATGAAGTTTTCACCAAGGAACACAGCATTAGTGCAAGCATCAAATGAAGTCACGATAGAAAATACCAAGCAAAAAAAAAAAAAACACAATAGGAGAAAATCTCATCAAACCCTGCATGTTGAAGATGATGAAGTCAATTCTTGGGGATTCCAGTGCAGTAAAGATGCAACAAATATCTCAGCCTAATAATACTATTCAGCGGCTTATAGCAGACATGTCCGTAGATGTTAAATAACACATTTTTATTGAAATCAAGCTTTCACCATTGTTTGCTTTCCAAGTTAATAAATCAACAGACGTGAGTTCGTGTTCGCAGTTGCTTGTCTTTGTCTATATTCATTCAGATGATAGGAAAGAAGAGTTGCTATTTTGTGAAGATAGCATGGAGAAAATAAATTGGTTTTTTTAAAACTGGAGGATTAAAATGGGTTAAAACGGCTGTGGGTGTTTGTACGGATGGTGCGCCATCTATGTTTAGGTCAAAATCGGGCTTCAATATTAAGCTCCCTAACCACTGCCCCCGCCATCAAGACTCCATTGCTAGTAAAAGTCGTAAATTATATTAAATCTGGAGCTGGAGCCTTGAAAGAACTGAGCAAAGACAAATAAAGATCACGAGGTTCTGCTTTTCTACATTACAGTACGCTGGCTGTCAAACGAAATGTTGTGAATCGTGTTGTTAAATTGAAAACTGAAATCAAATTGTTCTTGGAAGTGCAAAGGAAACAAGACCTTTTGGTATACTTAAAACGACATAGAGTGGTTGGAGAGAGTATCATACCTAGCAGATATATTCGAACATCAACATAAGCTTAACCTGAAGCTTCAGGGAAAATGAACGAAGATTATTACTTTCCATGATAATCTCGGGGCATTTTTATCAACGCTGCAAAATCGGCGAAGAAAATAAATTTTGGAAATATTGTAAATTTAAGAAAAAATGAATCTTATTGTGAGATAATTAAAATTTTGAATCTCTTGAAAACGAACTGCAGCGCTTTTTCTCTGGGCTGAAAAATGATGAGCATTGACGCATTACCCATTCTCTTCTTGCCTTGACGTTGCCAGCATTCCCGATGAATTACAAGATGAATTCTTTGATCTGCAGAATGATTCCGCGTAAGACGAAAAACTGCACACACAATTTCGGTGTAGTATTATTCAACATTCATACCCAAACGTAAAATTGATTGACTTTTCGAGAATAGATTTTCAACACTATTCTCCGATTAAAACAAAATTAAGAAATAAATTGAATGTTGATAATGACAAAGGTTGGCATTAAAAAAATGTAACTGTAATAGATTGACGATAGAAGCATGTGATTGTATATAAAACGTTTATTGGCCTCAACTACATGATGGAACGAGAGAGAGCGGAAGTGACGAGAGACAAAGATATATATACATGTAAGGGACATCACTCAAGATAACAGTATAAATATAATACTAATACAAGATGAGTGAGTTCCCTTGACTTCACAAGTCTCACTATATTACATCCCTTTACCCTTAGTAAACACAACACATCTCTCAATAGAACAATTTACAGTATCCTAAAATCACCAATTATATTGTAACATGAACACTATGGTAGATTACATCCTTACAAACAATGCACAATATGTTACAACATAATTAAAATACAAAACAATGATGTCAAAGTCCTTTTGACCTTTAAAATCATAGGTCTAACTTATTTGGGACTTTGATTGTCCTGCTTGACCTTCTCAGTGGCTTTTGATTTGGTGACTCAAGATTCTGACCATCTGGATTCTCTATCTCAGAAGGTCTAGGATCAAAATCATTAATTCCAGAATTTACATTTTCTGACTCCAGACTACTTGGTTCACTCATATCAACAGAACTTGGTTGTGGAACAAACTGAGTTGGTGTGAACTGATCAGATTTGGTGGGATTTACAGATTTACACGTATTATCTGCACAAGTTATTTTTAACTGGTCTGCATGTCTACGGACAATAAGTCCATCATTTGTTTTTACTTTATAAGACACAGGTCCTGTACATTGAACAATTTGACCTGGTATCCATTTTTCCTTTCTCCCATAATTTCTCAGATACACATTCTCATTAACACCAAATTCTCTTTCAATGCATGTTTTGTCATGATTTAATGGAACTATTTTTGAATTGGCATCTGGAAGTATTATGCTGTTATTCAGATCCTTGACTGACATAGATTTCTTTGATTGATCAATTTTCTCAGGTAATCTGATAGTGCTTTCCTGGTAACCAAAAATACTGTTTAAAGTAATATCCTGGACCATATCAATTTGCAACTGTGATCCAGTATTTGAAGTGGGTGTATTAAATGGCAAAAATCTTTTTTCTTTTGATGTTACCCTTTTAGTTTCTGTAAGTGCTAATGATGTTAGCAAAGTTGTTTGATGATCACATTCCTTCTTATTTAAAGCATTTGAAATTTGCCATATCACCATAATCATTTATTAAGTTACAAATACTTTGTTTAGGCAACTCTGACTGATAATGGACTGCATCTTCTCCATCTTTTAGACTTAATTCTGTTTTTCTTATTTTATATGGCCTTAATTCATCATTCACAGACTCTTCAGGCCAACCATTCTTACAGTACTCATATACTTTTATTAAGCACTCATCTTTTTGTGTTTCTCTTTTAATATCATTCACATTTACATTGGAGTTATCCATGATAGTGAAGAGAACAAATACATCTTCTGGTACATAGCTAAGGCTTTGGTTTTTTAAAGGTAATCTACTAAGACTATCTGCACTATTCTCAGATCCAGGTTTGTATTTCAATTCATAATTGTATGCAGTTAGTGTGATAGCCCATCTTTGAATTCTTGGTGAGGCATGCTCAGGTAGGGTTTTGTTTTCTCCAAATAAACCTAGCAATGGTTTATGATCTGTAAAGATGGTGAACTTCCTACCAAACAGAAACTTATGAAATTTCTTAACACCAAAAATGATGCCTAAGCCTTCCCTATCTAACTGAGAATAATTTTTCTCAGCCTGGTTCAAAGATCTACTGGCAAAAGCAATGGGTCTGTCACCCTTTTCATCTATGTGGGATAAGACTGCTCCTACACCATCTGGTGAAGCATCACATGTTAATATAAGTATTTTCCCTGGGTCATAGTGAGTTAGTAAGGTGTCAGAAGACAAAGCTTCTTTTGCTGTATTAAAAGCAGCTTCTTGTTGTTTACCCCAGTGCCAAGTTGCATTTTTCTGCAGCAGCTTGTACAGTGGTGATAGTTTACCAGACAGATTCCCTATGAACTTTGCATAGTAATTTATCAAGCCCAAAAAAGCTCTTAGTTGTTGGGTATTTTCAGGTTTGGGTGCTTCTTTAATGGCTTTTGTTTTCTCTGGTTGAGGTCTGAGACCTTGCTTGCTTAAATTATAACCAAGAAAACTAATTTCTGTCAGCATGAATTGACATTTATCTTTGTTTATCTTTAAACCTTTTTCACCAACTATTTTCAAGACTTTATCAAGTGTTTTAAGATGTTCAGTGTCATTCTTACCAGTTATGTACACATTGTCAAAGTAAACACAAACATTTGGAATATCCTTAAAAATACTGTCCATGACAGCTTGGAAAATTCCAGGGCTGGATGATATACCAAAACATAGTCTTTCATATTTGTAGAGTCCTTTATGTGTGTTTATTGTCGAATAGACTTTTGAATCTGGATGCAGTTCTAGTTGAGTGTAAGCATGACTAAAGTCTAATTCAGTGAATTTGTCTCCTCCTGCCAAATTCAAAGAAATTTCCTCAATGTTAGGAATAGGGTACCTATTTAGCTCTATTTGCTTATTCAGAGTAGCTTTATAGTCTCCACAAATTCTTATAGAACCATCCTTCTTTAACACTGGCACAATGGGCGTTGCCCAATCAGAATAGTCTACCTTCTTTATGATGCCATTAGATTCCAATCTACTTAGCTCATTTTCAATTTTATTCCTCATTGCATAAGGTGGAACTCTAGCTTTGCAGTATCTTGGATTTGTGTCTTTAATGCTTAACTTCACTGTTCTATCATTTAGTAATCCAGGATTACCAAAAACACATTTATTTTTAGATATAACTTTATCTATTGAAGTAAGACTAGATTCTCTTGCTTTGATCACTGAAAATATACTCTCCCAATTTAACTTAAGATCACTTAACCAGTTCCTACCTAGTAATGGTGGTCCATTTCCTTCAACCACAAGAAGAGGAAGTTTAACACTTTGACCATTA